TAAACTAAATCTGGTATATCTTTAACATTGTTGTAAGCAATAACATAATAACAACAGACCTCACATTTTTGATGTTGATAAGCTTGATACTATAAATAGCATATACTATATATATTTTAATATAATTGAAATTTGAACTATGGCAATGGCCGACTTGACTAATCGCTTCACATTGTATAGTCAGTGTTCTAGTTATTCAAGTTCAAACCCCAACCTCAGTAAAGGTTTTAATTATCATGACTGCGTTTAAATAAAAACAGAAAGAGTAGTAAAAAGACAATAAGAAAGAGAATATAAAAATATCTTTAAAAAGCTTCTTAGAAAACATCTTATTTTATAAATCTTATTTTTATTAATAAATTAAGCAAAAACCTGTATTCAAAAAGTTTTCGTAATTCGGCATTAAAATCCTATTTTTCGCGATTTCTTGTATTTGTACTTCTTTTCGATTAGCCCCTCTGAAGATATCTGTCTTGTTCCGGTAAGAACACCCATGTCTTGTCACCTTCGTCACAACTAAAAAATGGCCTGAATCAGAGCTGTCCAGTTCAGATGCAATCGCCGGCCAATACAAATCACTTTACAGATTAGAGGGCCGCAGAATCAAATACATATGTTCTTGGGTATACCATAAAAATAAAATAATATAGTTTTACTAGTATACCAAAAGATTAAAAACATGTCGCGGGCCGCAGAAACATTAGCCGCGGGCCGTGTTTTGGACAGCCCTGGTCTAAATTGCAAATTTTTGGCTATATCAATTCACTACTCACTTATAAAAATATATGCTAGATTAGAAACGAGCGTTAGTAACTTCGTATTTTGTGTCGATTCTTGTCGTATATATGTATGTATATATATATTATATATATGTATGTATATATATATTTGCCGTTATGAAATAACAATCTCTTGCTTTTTTTCTACAAATAATTAACACCTAGTTTCGCACGCAATCTAGTGTATTTAGGGCCAAAAGCTTACTTATACAAATCAATCCTCAGATGGCGCTAAACATCGATAAAGAAGTTGTCGTTAGAACTAACAATTAAAGAAAAATTATTTTTTTAATATCTCAAGTGCGACAAATTTATGTAGACATTATTACAGTTTAAGTAAACACTCTAATAGCTTGACTTCCATAAAAGTTGACATCGAAAAGATCAGCAGTGTCACCAATATAGAAAAAAATTTTCTTTTAAATCCTGCAAGTGTGGAAATTCAGTGTTATTAATTTTGCGCAACTTTTATTTTCTAAATCTCTCAACTGCATATCCGAAAAATTTTCAAAATTTTATAAATCAATTTACTATTTACACAAACACTAGATTGAATTAAAGAAATTGTAAGTTGGCGCCAAAAAAGGGGAAGTACTAGCAAAGAAAAAAATCTGCTAAGATACAAGCACGCCGAGTGTACGTTGAAGTAAATAGCAAGTCCCGGATATTGTTATCAGTAAAAGTTATATACATATAACTGCGTTTTATTGAAGTTTTCGGAAAAAGTTTTACAACTTAATAGTTCAATAATTTACATAGCCGATCTTTCATTACTATATCTCCCGCAGTCCTACAAAAGGATACAGCTTTTATGAAAGCAAACATTAATTATATTTTATTGTAATAATAGAACAATTAATTAGTTGGCTTAACGACAAAATCATAAAAATAACTTCAAGGATAAATTAATTCTGTTCGTTTTAAATTTAGCAATCATTAAGATTTCTGTTTACAGAAACGCTGAACCAGTCCAGAACCGGCTGCGACCCTATACAGTTTATTGATATCGAACTCTGAAAAGAAAACAACAAAATAAAGAACAAATTGTTGTAATTTACGATTTATTCAAGTATTACGTATAATTGAAATGAAGCAGCAATTGAATGAAAAAAAAACGTTCATAAAAACATACAATATCTTTACACTCGCAAACAATATAAAATATCGAATTGAAATCGTTTAACTCAAACAAAAAAAAAACATGTTATAAAAACACTCCCTTCCAAGTACTGCAGATATTTAATCACACTATTCTAATATTTGCTTGGGAGTGAACTCCAATCGAATCAAATGTTTTACGATTAGTTTTTTGCCTCATGGCAATATACGGTATACCACGTACAGACCAGACTCCATTTAAATAACAAATCTACATGAATCGGTATTGGTTTAATTAGGCATTATAAAAAAATATATATTGTATAATGCAACCATATGAGATCTCTTGTGCTATGCGTATTTTGATCGACCCTTTTTGCCCAACAACTTCATTCTAACAACTCCAATATGACGGTCACATCGAAAAAATTAGTTGAATTAAAACTACTTTATAATTTATTTAGAATTAATTTGATGTTAGTGTATTGGTGTCTACTCCCTGTTACCTACATACCTCTCGCCATATATCACAGTCGTGCACTAAATTAACAATTGTCTTCTTTTATCTGCACAGATCCATTTACATGAGCGTTATGTGTGCTCTCCCGTCCAATGCTCGGCAAGCTGCTAGCTCTACTATTTATTATCTGTATGTAAATGCAAGTAAACAAAGTACTCCGCAATGTATTTACTTAGCACTGGTGTCGTGAGAATCTCCGACGCAAGGAAACAGCACATTTCGGCGATGTTTTTGTTTTTAAATTTGCAAAAAAACAATAGATAAACGAAACGAATATATTTACTATTGCTTCAAAGTGTATGATTATATTTGGATCGAATACTTTAAATATTCAAATATATATATTAATGCATTAACACGTTATTTCACACATAGGGACCGGCATTCTTTTTATTGTTAATTACGTATATTAATTTGATTAAAAAAATCGTTTTAAAATGAGATTATGGCAAATTAACTAAGTCCGCTATATGCAGTATCTCTCCGAGGAACCGGCGAATGGAGTACTGTACATGAATTGAATTTAAATCATGCAAACAGGTGTACAAGCGGTCCCCAGGTAAAATATGTCGTGTGCCCATCCGTGAGAACGCGGGCCGGTAATGTTGTTACGGGGTGACCCACTGGTGGGGCATGCGGTCTTTAACCTGTTAAACATTATTCGAGCAACGTATGGTGTTAGATTCGAGCTACTCAAATATTTTCGTGCATTTGAAATGTTCGATCCAAATGTTTGAATTTCATTATATTCTAGCAACTCGAGTAACATAATACTCGTACTAATGAAGTAACATATGTGAGTACTCGAACTATTCAAGTATCGTAATACTCTACCTACTTGAGTAACATAATACTCGAACTACTCGAGTATCATAATACTCTAAACATTAAACATTAAAATGCTGTAAGCTTCAAATAACTCGAATAATGTTTGAAGACCTTCGATAAGGGTAAGAAAAGGGTCTGTTCTAGACAATCTTATTATACAAATATTTCTTAATACATTCTATAAATTTCTTTTTGCCAAAATTGACTTCTACTTCTATTCAAGAATAGTTTGAATAATTTTGGGTGCTGTTCCTACTACTAACTGTCCCCTTTTATTGCCCTCTCCTTGTACCGCCGCTGGATGTACTTGTGTGAAAACAATACTAAATGCGGCACACAAAGTTTTCTTCAGTTTTGGTTTTCTTATTATTTTATTATGCAAATGCGGGTAGGTGTTCATACCGCTTCAATATCTGTTGCATTTGTAAATGTATCTATTAAGTATTCTATTCTAATGGTAGTAAGGAATGTAAATGCTTCCGTTATCAGTTAACGTAACGGGTGTGTGCTTACAGTAAGTGAAATATATATATTGTATAAAGTATTAAAAAGTTGTTATCGTGATCAATGACATATGACGCTCAAGGCGTAATATGTTACGCATAATTTGTGTACCTCAGGAAATTATATAAAATTTGTCTTCAACTATTTGTGTTATTTTATTGCATTTTTATAGAACATCTCAAGCGAATAAAATCTCAAGTAGATATTTACCAAGTTAAGTACTACGAACTCAACCTGGTAACATTGTAAGTTAATACAATAAAATGTTTAATTTTTTTATGACGATTTTGTAGAAACTTTATTAAAGAAGTCTGTTGAACTAATATGGATCCTTGGTGCTATCAAATAGAGATGTGATTAGAAAAACTGCAGCCAACATAAAACTGTTTCACATTTAGCCAACATAGAGTTGGTTAGAAGAATCACAGTCTTTGAGAATGCAGGAGACTTCATATATTCATGTCTAATTGCTTCTTTGTTGTTCCAAAGTTTTTATATATGATAGAGATATATTTTGAGAATCACAGTTTATGTGGGCAGTTTATACAGTTTATATGTGTGCAACACACAGTATAAACCAATTGACCAATTGCCGTACAATTGATTTGTCATTGTTTTAAAGCATTTACACTTTGGAATTGCTCCAGTCGACATGGACGTGTTAGTAGAATTGCAGTTTGTGTTGGTATATTTGTTCATATCCAGCGTTTAATTGACTTTACTGATTGCTATCTAATAACGTCATTATTGTTGCGAAATCATTCCGGAAAGGACATCTAGCGTATGTAAAAATTCACATATGGATAACTAATTACTTCATCATTTTTTCAATCTTTTGAGTTATTCGACATAGACGTGTTTAGAAAAAGCAGCCTGCCTGTTGATGAATTCCTTCATGCCCAGAAAGTAAAAGCAAGATCACTAATTCCTATCTTTATCATTTTTATGAAGCCCGAACACTCTGTATTTATTTAAATCGTCGTAATTAAAAGACTTACACGTATTTAAGTATTGTTTAACTATATTCTCCTGGTCGTGTCACTGGATCACGGATATAGCACATTTGAAAGTTTTTTTTATTCAGGGCGTGATCACTACATATTTTCACTAATTTTATTAAAATTAAAGTAAAAGGTGGTGGTAAAGTCATGTTAATGAAATAATTAGATTAAAGATAGAGTTAAAACTTAAATATCTAAAATAATTATATTTCAGCACATCGTACCCTCTTTTAAAAAAACAATTTAATTGAATTTTTCTTTATTTTTTAGGGTGGTGCATACTGTAAGTTTCGGTAGCGTTGCTGAGCTAATACAAACTTCCTTGAATGCGTATTTGCTTTGATCGGCTGTGCTTCACAACAAAGAAGCCAGCTAGTACAGATAACGAAAAACCATCAACCAATCCATCAAATACTGACTACAAATATTATAATGAATCCTTTCATGAGGAAATAGTAACTTCTAAACCATCGTCCCGATCTTCCGCATCACCCAGTAAAGTAAATGATAATTGTATTTTAAGTAATAATTCGTCTCAAAGCACAAATACAAGCACTAAAGATTTGACTGCAATAGTACGGGATTTAAATGATACGAGCATAAATCCGACTGAAGTTCCAGTAACGAGCACCAAAGATTGGCTGTCAGTAAAAACGTTAGCAGAACCTACTACACATTCAAACAAAACTGAAGCTGATAACGAAAAATCAATTACAAGCAGCAATTTTCCATCAGATACAAATATCAAATATAACAATACTAACCACAAAACTGATATCGACATACTATATACCAAAAACAGCTCTAAGAACAATAAAGAGAACATATATCATATATACAACTTAGACACAGATACAGAAAAACTAGAAATTAACGCAAACGAAGAGGGACAAGAGGTAAAAAATATTATACCACAAAGCTTACCCCAGCTTAAAATTAATGACAATACGAAGGTAGAAGGGGACACAATGCAGCAAGAGGCGAATGCTAACTTTCAATTTCAGTCCGATCTGGGACTTGTAAACAATAATAATTTGCCAACAACGGTTACCGAACTTGGCTTTAATAATCTTAGTAATAATCCAGGACCAACGTCTGTTAGTAATCTGACATTACCTTTGCAGCCTGCAGATGTGCTAACGCATACACTAATATATGGAACTCTACCGAACACCGCACAACAAATAAGCGCTGACCCGAATTTACAAGCGAGGAACATACTTCACCAACAGGAGTTACAGCTTCAACAGCGTTACCAACAACTTCAGCATCAAGCGCAAACACAGGGCTTATTCGCCACCGGATCACCTACAGTCGCACCGATTGTAGTACCAGCGGCTTCTAATGAACCAGCGCCACGTTTATACAGTAATCTTGCCATAACTCAGACACCTGATTATTATACAACACAACAAAAATTGCTTAATGAACAAATGCAAGGACTGTGCATAGCAAGTGTTGCCAATGCCAGCCCCACTTCCTTGAGTGCAAATATAGGTTAGTATAAAAACATATACATATATTTTCTTTTAATATTTATTCATCAATTGACTAATTTGTATTTAGCATCGCCAAATGAGGAACGCTGGTTGCAAATTATTCAGGCGAAGGATCTTAAAATTCAGGAAATGCAACGTGCACTCCAATACAAAGATACTGAAATAGCTGAATTAAAATCACATCTTGATAAATTCCAAAGTGTGTTTCCATTTAGTCGAAGTGGTTCATCGACACCAGTGTCAACGGGAGCGACACGAAAAACTGGACAAGTCTTTCAAAGACAACGTGCACAGGGTATATCTGCGGAGCCACAAAGTGAATCATCAGTTCTTTTAGAGAATATTGCATTTCCAAAATATGATAAGGACGAAAGGTCAGTTATATCAAAAAATAAACTACAAAAAATTATGTTAATAGTCTTCTATATTATAATAATAATTTTTACAAAGAGATTTTAGTTTTAAGAACTATACATTCTTTTGACTTTCTCAATCTCACTTTGTAATTAACACATACACTCTCTCTGTTTCTCTCTCCCGCTATCTCTTTTTTTCTCTCACTCTCTTTCTCTCTCACACACACTCTCACCCTATCTCTCGCAATCTATTCTAGCAATTATAGTGTAATCAGTTGAAATTGGACACTGATCGTCCAAAAGTGTTCGTTGATCAATTTTTAAAAATTTCGTGTAGTCTGGAACGCTACTAAACTCTAATACCCATCTTGAAAGGGTAGATTACGCTTACGAAAAACGTAATAAGCGTAACAAATTATAAGTGCTTGATGCTGTATTCAATAAATTTACCTTAACATTAATTTGACAAAGATCAAAGGAATGTGTACTGATACTATTTTACATTTACCGCTTTATTTGCGTAATGCATTCGTCAAATGAAAACGAGTACGATAACGAGTTTCCAAAAAACTTTCTGGAATTCGTTTCCTAAACTCTTAGAGAGGTATGGGAATTCACAGTTTCTAAATCTAACTCTGTTGGCAACGGCTTGGTAGATTTGACTCCAAGTATTTCAGCTTTTTTTTATCTTTTTGTCGATGGTCATTTATTATGTCAAGGTAGATGCAGTTATTGACTATTTGGCAGATTCCATCGTAGAGCAGCCTGTTTGCTTTTATTACTATTTGGATGTCTCTGCGTATGTTTTATTCATTCACTTTTCTTTATTTCACTTCTTTCACATTTTTTTCCTATTGTAATCCATATCATATTCGTCTAAAAGATTTATGAACGATTGATCAATTCAAGACAGGAAATACCTCATACCTTTGTAGCATCACAACAATCCATTCCACTGCAACCTATCCTAAACGTTCTATCAATTTCGTATAAAGGATATACAAAATTGATGTGTAATCTAATCTAAACAGACATACACTAAGAAAAAAATTTTTTCTATAATTTTAAATATATAAATACTTTATTTCAGATCTCGAGAAATTATCAAATCAGCGATTTTAGATAATGATTTTATGAAAAATTTGGATATAACACAAATACGAGAAATAGTAGATTGCATGTATCCTGTTAAATATGCGGCTAAAAGCTTAATCATTAAAGAAGGGGACGTTGGTAGCATTGTGTATGTTATGGAAGGTAAGTTAAAATAAAGCAAAACTTTAAAGAAATACTATAGCTCAACTAACAAGAAATAAGAAACAATTCATTATTTACATTGAGAAAATACAAGTTCTTCAAGCTTATTATATCTAAAATCAATAAATAAGTCCATCATATTTAATATATCAGAAAAAATAACTTTTCTAAGTGTATGCACGTCGTGTTGAGATGTTCCTAGAAAATACAGATGTAATTAAAGCGAAGAATTGACCTGAGAATCGCAGTTCGCAGTTATATCATATGGATATATATGTTATATAGAATGATATAGAATCAAATCGATATGGAATCAAATGCTATATCTGCATTTAAGACAAAGCCAAAGAAGATGCTATTGCAATTAAGTATTAGAATTACGGTATTCTTCCTCACTGGAATAAAACTAAAGCTGTTGGCAAGTTAACTAATGGATCATCATAGTCTGTGTTACCATCGCTCTGTCTTAGGAGGTAAAATGTCGATTTTATTTGCAAGTAGATGAGACCTCTAATAACATTGTTTGAGAACATTCTATTGTGACAAGATCCGCAATGAAAGATATTCTGACATTTATTCGAAGGACTTAGTGTCTTCTGTTCTATTATAATCGATTACTATCACAAAAGCACCCTGTTACGTTTTAATTCTAAACTTTTTATTTCTCAACATATTTTTTCTTAATTGCAATTATTTATAGACTTTAATAGATCGTAGTTGAAGAATTTGTTTTCAAACACAATCATTTCTGCAATATTTAAGGTATAAAAATGTGTACTACGTATATAACTCAAGTGTTTCATTCACATCGCTTTTGAGATATCCGTTTCTTGATCCAAAAAAATCAACTCTTGCGTTTATGTCATAAATTTTCTTTATTGAAAATCAATTTTAATCAAATGTATATTGAGCATTATTATTTACAGCCTCTTCTATTTTTCGGGTAGCGGTCATAAATCCTTTAGTATAAAACTTCTGTAGTTTATTAACAAATAACTTTACCAAGTTATTTTTACCGGCCTTTCGATCGATTTTCGACCAATTTTATACCATTAGGTAAGAGAGGTTTGCAGAGACCAATACAAATGGTAGTCACATAGTGCAAAGTACAAATTGAATTCAAAGTACGATTGAATTCACCAAAACTTCCAAAATTAAGTTTCGTTCATTTGTTTCGATTCATCAAAGGTGTGGGTAACCTGGCATTTTCATGATACTACAAAACTCCTGTTGAATTTTTATTTTTGTTGAACAAATTTAATCGCTTTTCCTTGATTGTTTTGTTCAAGCGGTTGAGTTATAAGAAGTAGAGGACAGAATTAACAGTTGCATCAGACTGAAAGAGCTTGTAATAGGCAATTTCCTTTTAATCCCATCAAATACTCTACATAACCCTGTTTACCAACACTCTTGGCTTTAAAGTCGGTTACGGAGGGTCACTGACCTTCGACCATGATTGCTGGTGTTAAATATTCCCATATTTAATCCATTTTTTTTAACCATGCTAGGAGACTACATCTCCCGTTCAACCATAACAGCTGCAATTGTGGAGAGAAGGATGAAAATGCTTCCCATCTGTTTTGCTTCTATCCAGCATATGCGCAACCACTAAACACTTTAAGGGCTTTCTTTTTCGAGGATCTTGGCGAACAGCAAGACCTCCGTTTGAATAACATTATAAGCTTTGCGACAGATTAAAAGTGGTTCTAACCCTTGAGTTTTTATTTATCGGTAACACAATGGGCTTATAGGCTTAAGCGGATTCCTTGGGATCGCCGGTATAACCTAACCTAACCTAACCTAATCCATATTCCATCGGCTGTAATGATTCGTTTCAAAAATGGTTCGATTTCGTTGCGTTCCAACAGCGATTTCGTTGCATTAGTTTATGTGATACTCAAAAATTGAGCGTCTTTACGTAGTTTGCTCCTTCTAAATGATTCCAATATTTCTTGGCAGCTTACTTGTGGGTGTGGCTCCATCAGTTACAAAATTTCAAAATTACAAAATTTTTCATTAACAGGTCGACCACAACAAAGTACATTTTTGATATCGAAATAGTATTTCTTTAGATATTCTGTCCATTTTAAAATCAATATAACTTATTATACGACCAATAAACTATACAACTGCCTGAAATGTCATCTTTCAAACACGTGTTTGTTTGGCATAATTGGATTTGTATTGCAAGATATATCGCACACCCCGTCTTCAAAAGAGACACAACTCGAAAATCATCAATTTTCAGAAAACGCAAAAAATGTTTTTTAGCGTAGTGTCATTCCTAACAAAAAAGAGATATAACTGCTTTTTTCGACAATTTGCAAAGTGGAATTTTGTGTCTTGGTAGATAGGTAAACTATACGCAAGTTCCATACATTAACTGAAAATTGACGAAATTCGAGTTGTGCCTCTTTTGAAGAGGAGGGTGTGCAATATGTGTATCAACTGTATCTTGTGACGAAAAAGTGACGAATACTTTTTATATTGCCTAATAGTTAGGAAGCATCTAGTTAGTATACTACTATGTGAGACACCGATCTCTTCCTCACTACGTTACAAACCTTTCAGCAAACTTAATATACTTTTTTCACACTAAGTGCGTTACTGATTTAATGACTGATAGATTTATATCTCACTTTGTTCGAATCAAAGAAACCTTAATGCGTTATCAAGACATTATGTGGGAAAAGCCTAATGGGAGTTCTTTTGTTGGAAGTGATTGAATGTTTGCTTGTAGACATTTAGGAACAAGTTTTTTTTTCATGTTATTGGTTGTTTTTTTTCCAACGTTTGAAAAATATTCAACTAGTGAAAACGAAGCTTTAAAAAAAGCTGAAGAGTAGTTGCTGCGTTAAAAGCAGGAATCGTTCAGCTGAGGAAGACTGTGCAATCGTTGTTAGAGGCGGCGGGTGTAGATACATTGTGGCAATTGCGATTGAAAGATTGAAACTGAAACTGAAACTGAAAACGATACTTCGAAGTCGTTTTATGTGTTTTGTATTTTTTCTACTGGTTTTGATTTGGAAGAAATCAATTCTAAATTTACGAGATAGTAAGTTGTTGGGCGACGATGACAAATAAACAGACATGCAAGCGATTAAAGCCAGCTTCCATGAAGCAAAACGCGGTGCATTTATTTTATTTTACTACGCGTACTTGGCTTGGCTCAAGTTGATTGCTCTTTTACCTTGCACACCGCTACCGCTACCGCTCGCTGACAAAGCACGAAGCACGAAAACCTGATTTCAAAATTGAATACTTATTTTACTCTTTTGGTTTCATGTTCAAATTCAAATTCGAATACAAATACGAGTTCGAACTCGAACTCGAATTCGAATTCGTATTCGTATTCGTATTCGACGTGTTTGGATTCGACGTCTTAAAGACTTTTTATGTCAACTAGACGTACTGAATTCAGTGCGATCAAACGGTGGGGATAGACGTGGTCGTTGCAAATCAGCGGCGGATGAAGTGAATAAAGCTCGCAAAGCTTTGGTGTTAAGTAGTTCTTGCGCGAATCGCTTTAATAAAAATTTGCAAAGGTCAAAATAAAAAAAAAAATATTTTATTTTTTTTATTTTTTTTTGTTTTTTTTTTTGGTTTTTGTTTTTGTTGTTCGATTGAATTGAACTCTGTTGCTGTTGCATAGGAAAGTTAAGAGTTCATGAATGCAGTTTCCGTTCATATGTGCTACAGACTTATTATCCACGAGCAAAATACGTGCTCGGAATTATTCTTTTGAAAAAGTGAAAGTAATATTACGAAATGTGCTGCCCAACTCCGTTCCGCGCCACAGCCCGTCTTCTCGACGTTGTGTCTTGTGCTTTCGGTCTTGTGTCTTGTGTCTTGTGTCGTACGAGTTATTAGTTTTTGGTTATGGTTATGGTTTTGGTTTTAGCTTTGGTTTTTTGCATTGCCTCAACTCGCTCGAACTGCCCAATGAAACGGTTTTATTTTTATAATTTTATTTATTATTTCATTATTTTATAATGTTAAGTAAATGTGAATAATCGTCATCATCAAATCAATTCCGATCTGTTGGAACATAGTTTTGTTTTCTGTTTTTATTTTTTTGATTTTAGTATTTTCTTTTGCTCTTCATTTCGCATCTAAAACTTGAATTTTAAATAATTTTGACCCGTAATATTATAAAGATTTACGGATTTTATTAACAAAAAAAAACATTAAAACATTAACAAATGCAAGATTCTTTTTTTGGCAACCGAACTCAAATAAAAACCGATGACTACAACTTCTTACACTTCCTCATCTCTTTTGTTTTGTTCTGAGAAAGACTGCTAGTCATGAACACGAACTTTTTCCGCTATATCAGATACACATATACGTTAGATGAATGTAGTATAGAATAGACAGAAATGCGACATAATCAAACCAAACACTTTATCTAACTATCGTCTAAATAGAATTGGTTAACTGTTAAGTTATTTCGCATACCAATAGGTAGGTTAGTGGACTCGTAACATATTGTTATGTTTTATTTATTTTTATTTTTTTTATGTGTCTTTTTTTTATTTTTTTTTTTTTTTTTTTTTGTAAAGAGGTTTTCGGAAAGTAGTGAACTACAACAACAGAATTTCTTTTTTATATAATTTTAATTAATTGAATTTTTAGCTGACCATACAACTGTTTAGAGTATTGCCAAATACCCATCATCAGTGGTCTTGGAAATAATTCTTGTATTTAATTATTCGTAAATAACTTTTTTTTAATTGAGTCTGCAAGTACCAGGAATTGAACTCGTGCTCTGCCAAAGTTGAAGCTCAGAGTCAGCGCTCCATAACCAACTGACCCAAGGCCGTACTTGACTTTCATGTTCGCACATTTTTCTGAAGTTTTGTTAATTTATTGCGAATGTTTTATTAACAAATTCACTTGCTGTGTTTATATTAGAACGAAATCATAAACCAGCTGTAGAATAATTGAAGTAATTAATCGCATTTTTTTATTTTTAATTGTTAAATTTCAATACTATTCTGTTAGTGGAGGCATTATTTGTTTCATAATTTATATATTCTTTCTTATGTAAAGAACCTAATCGAGGAACGTCATACTGAGAAAGATATGCTAATGTTACTCCACGATTCGCACGGGCGAGACCATATATTTTGTGAATATAAGTTGTAATTTAACGCCATTTTTTTATTATTTTTTTATATATTTTTTATAATTTTTTCTATATACTCAAGCGAATAACATGGGAACGGTATATTAAGTTTATTAAAATTTTTATAACACAGTGAAAGAGACATCAAAAACTTTATAAATTATAAGAATCCATGATCAACATGAAATAAGAAATCAATCAAATAATTATCGTACGGTAAATGTTAGTCAAAAAACAAAAATTCTTTGATATTTTTAATTAATATTGTTTTTGACCAGTTGGGACTATTATTTAATTAAGTTATATTTAGGTTTATCTAGTCCTTTGGTTGGGATATGTCAAATTCAATTTAATTTTTTAGACCAACGTTTCTTAAGATCATGCTAATATCTTCATCTAAATTTTTGATATAGACTAGGGTATCAAAATATATAAAATATTTGAACATTTTAATATTTGTCTATATACTTAAGCATAATTAAAAGCATATATACTTAAGCATGATTCAAATGAAATATGTATAAAAAATTTTTAAACAACTAAATCTGTATGTCGACAATAACTTTACGCATCTTGACTTTCAAGCAAGCCAATATTTATATTTTTCCTAATAGGTCAGAAACTTCACATATCCTAATAGAAAATAAACAAAAGGAGTATGATCACACGCTCGTGGTAACCTGGAAATATTCGCTCTAATAATTTTGTCAGCAATAAATTGATTATGTCGTACACTGTATAGCAAGTAGCTGTCGGGAAAATTAGTTTATAGTCGGGAAAAAAATTAACGCTCTCACTAAGGACTAATTTAAGTACAAAAATATATTAGACGTATAATTATAGAATATTTGAAAATTGTTACCGAAGTTAAAACATTTATACATTTCTTCCACTTATTTTAAGAGAGGAGTTAGACTCATAAAAAAATTTTCAGAAAAAGATTGTGTCTTGATTTCTTTAAAACACATTAGCATTTTAAAAATTGGATTTACCCAGGATATACCCTTGATTCTCGCTGACTATACCATTGTATACAAAATCTTACTTTAATTTATCATGTTTTGTTCTATTTCAAATACTTTTTAGTTCTATAGCTTGCATATAGCTTTGCACTCTTCTACTTTGAGTTCCAGTCAGTTGGAATTGATTTAATACTATTTTGAGATTTCGTTGACGTAGAACTTCAATTGTCTTTTCATGTTTTCACAATAAGGCTCATATATCTATATGCTTCCTATATAATATATATTTAAATAGTCTCGATTTTATTTTATAGATACATAGTTATATTAGTGTTTAGCTATAGTTTTCCAGGTATATTCCAGGTAACCATTGTAATTGTATAGAAGGAACTACATATTAGTTGTGTTTAGAGTTTAGGATTATTTCGAAGAAATTTGGTCTTATGTGAAATTGGATTTGACTGTATAGTTATAGTATGGAAGTTATATATTCTGTTTGCTGACATATATAGTGTATCATGTGTATTGTAGTTTGTTAAACCTTGAAATTTTGCGTTACCAAAATTGATACTATTTGAGAGTAACTTTATGTAGGTGTATTGCTGTAACTATAATAGCTTAAACTTACTAATTTTGTTAATGAAAATTGTGAAGAGACTTTCACTGTAAGTATATAGTGGTTAGGGTACAGCCACTTGGTAAACAGTTACTTTTCGTGTAGCTGTACACCTAATGACGTCGCACATCTGTTCTTATATCATAATACAATTACCAATTTGAATCATTCAGATCTTTGGTGTTAATCTATTGAAATTGTTAGGTTTCTTTATTTCGACACAGGCTACTTTCAATTAAGATCCACTTATTCTAGACCTTATCGCAAACAACACTGCTCTTTTCATCCTACCATTCCTGATCCATTTATTCGTATTTGTAATTTCGTTCATGTGTCCTGCTATATTGATCTCTACGGACCCAATAACAATAGCAACAACTGTGTCCAAAAAACTTTTACTTCTAATGCCCTTCTTTTGTAAATTAGAAAAACTTATATAATTAAAGAATAATTACATTATTCTGAAGATTTAAAATTGTATCTACTATAATTATAATTGAATTTCAAAAAAACATGCTTAAAAGTAAGTGTACGAGAAGCACACATTGTCGTTGCTATTTTAGAAGACCCGATCATATGTTTCACTACCTCTAATCTGAAAATTAGTACAGCACGCAAATCAATAGAATAAGCACTCTATCCTAAAATCTTAGAAGTGAACTTACAAAAATTTCTTGTGGCATTATGAATCAAGGATTATAATTCCTATCATTTTATTTCATTAGATCTGTGTCACAGGTTAACGTAGTATTCTATAGATGGTTATTAAAAAATTCGCGTTACTTAAAGTAAATTGGAAATTATTAAATGCTGCTGCTCATTTTTTTGAAATTCTGAATAAAATTGGAGGAGAGAACATAGTTATTGTCATTGATTGATTGGAGTCATCAGAATTTAGAATAAATACTTACAAATAAAACACAGAAGTAGAAATTTGTATTACTGTGGTGAAAGAGGAGCCTATTTTGTATATCGATTCAAACTGCATATTTAAAACAATGAAAGTAAAACGATATCCTGGTAAAGTAGTGGACGCCAGTCTTTCTTTGGAATACACAAATGCCATGGGAGTTTTGTATGAAGCCAATTGGTTGCGAGCGCAACAAAAGTTCAACAGTGAAATTGGTAAGCAATTGTCATGCGATGCACCAATACAGGTTGGAACAATGCTACCAACTGCCAACAACGGAAGAGGTTACTTATTTGATGGCATTTCAACACTTAGTAAATATCAAATGACTTTGGAGCAAATTAAAAGTCTTGAGCACGATGATGACGTATTAGACAATAATATTGTCGAAGCAATGCAAAATCTGAAAGGTTATAAACCATCAACTTTACGACGTAAAGGTTCAGTGCATAGCTTCAACTGGAATTGTTCTTTTGATAAATCGAATAGTTCAAAAGATGATAAATATGGATCAACAAAACATCCCACTTCCAACGCAACTACAGCGACAATTGAAAAACGCAAGCAACGCCCTCGTCAACAGGTCTCCATACAACCGCCAATACTAAAACGTTCTCAAACCATGCTGTGTTCTTCGAAGTTATCAGATAGTTCATATGGAGTTTTCGATATAAAAGAGTTACGGAACTCGTGGAAAAAGGATTTAATGATAAATAATAATGAACATCAATATGCTGATAATGATCTAAATAATCCTTCAGTTATTTCAACACAGCCCCAGCGTTTGAATTTAATAACTTGCCAAAATCAAAACTGTGATAAAAAAACAAACTCTGCTATTTCACAATGCAACCTAGCTTCGACAGCTTCAGAAAATTGTAGTAGATCTGCGATAATACCGAATTTCAAACCTTGCCATACTATTAGCGAAAGCTTAGATACCTGTAATAATAATGACTACTTTGTACAAATTAGCAATGAAGATGATGGTGAGAATCTGAATGCATCTGAACCATCTGGTACATATATTGAAGATATCAGCACACGAAAAAACAGCGTTGATATATCAACAACCATCTCTAATTGTAAAAAGCAACAATCTAATCATTGTGAAATAAAAAAATCCGATCCACAAAATATAGAGGATCATTTTCTTATACCCAGGCCACGTTTGATTGTACCAGTTCATTCATATGCAAGAAAAAGGAAAACTGGGATTTTAAGTGATCAAAACATGGAAGCTATCAAGCTTTCAAATAAGAACTTGCAACAATGTCAACAGTATGAAAATGGTAAGAATTATACGTGCAATTTATCACTGAGCGTTTTATTCAAATTAATCTATCAGTAATAATGATAAGATTCTTGTTTTTAAATATATATATCTAATTACTTGTATTTGTATTATATACATTCAAACCAAATCTTTTTGAACTAGACTATATGAATAACTATATATGAATCTTACAAATTTTCTTATCGTATTATTTGTAGATGGTCGCGTTGAAGTGTCTCGGGAAGGCAAATATCTCTCTACTCTTACTGGTGCAAAAGTGCTAGGGGAACTAGCTATATTATACAATTGCCAACGTACTGCTACAATAACAGCGATAACTGAATGTAAACTATGGGCAATCGAAAGACAATGCTTTCAAACTATAATGATGCGAACTGGATTGATACGTCAAGCCGAATATACAGATTTCCTTAAGAGGTAATTCATACTTACATGGTTTTATTAATATAAAATTAAAATTTGCATAACTCTAATAAAATGCTTTCAACCTTTTATATATACCTTATATAAGGTACCTATCTTTTAACCTTATGTACCCTTTTCAAACCTTTCCTAAGAAGGAGAGCAATTAATTTAATTTGACAATTATCAACATCGACTTCTGGCATGATGAATTTCTTCATTGAAGAGCACTTTATTTTTGGTTTTTTGGAGCAATGTTATCTCAGGCTTCAAATGCGCAAATAACGACAAATTACATTCGAGTCTAATAGTTTTTCCCTTTTAAAAGCATTATGGAACTATCTTTCATAGTTACATATTGTATGCATAAATTCTTCTTATTATATATATAAATGGGTTTTTTAAGTTGAGAATCAATGTATATGTTAGCCTTATCTATTACAAGTACAAATATTAGTTATGACATAATGTTATTTTAAAAATTAATACCTTCTTTCTACTTGTTTTAGGTTTTTGTGGCGTATTTTTCACTTACAATTGTTATCTAAGCTTTTTCTTATATAAACGGTAATGTTTTCTAACAAACATCATATTTTTTCAAGTGACTGACCACGTATAAAGTAACATATATATTTTTGATAATGCTTAGTGTATATACCGCATGGAGTTGCCCATATATTAATGTGTTCTACAGGTCGGTCGCATATCTGATGTGGATTGATTTATGTTTCATCACATTGATGACAGCATGCCTTCTTCTTCGATAAAGGTTAAATTAAAAATTGGCATCCTCTTCATTTCACTCTCTCTCCCATTTTTATTACCTTAATCTGTTTAATATAAAATTACACTATTTCTTCTTATTTTTTACCATTAAATCCCTACATGATTGTCTGAAAATCTGATTTCTAGACGCCTCCAAATCCACATGTTCCACAACAGTAAAGAAGTCGTCTTTCTTATAAACTGTATCATTTTACTATCTGCAATCAACTCTTGTCGGTTACGTGTGTTGCCGATAAATAGACGCTGTCGCATCTGAAATCGTGACTTTTAAGTGACCACATTTGACTCCCCAAACTGAAAATCTACAATAAAATCAACCAAAATTATTATGAAACTTCTATGAAAATAAATATCATTGTATAAAATGTCAGTTCATAGTATTCTATGCGTTGTCATTATCGTAAACGGTTAAAAGAATTAGATTATAATAGGAGTTTTTTAATATTAATTTAAACCTCTGAGCTCAAATATTATTATGTGATGAGGTCATATATTTTTTTCTACATACTAATTAGAATAGAATACTGACTGACTTCTAGTAAAGCATAGCGTTGCTTTCATGGTTGATCTTATAATTTTGACAAAATCTACATATCGTATAGGAACTACAACTATTACTACTACCATTTTCTGCTCGCAGATAGAATCGAACATCTTTATTGTTTCCCTGTCATGCCCATTTTTGAACCATAATCTTCTCTCTATCGAAGTTTCTTATTAACCTAATTAAAAAATTGCCTGTTTAATTACATGCTCCGTTAAAAAAGTATAAACAATCTTAAGACCTTTAACTTAGTTTCTACTTTATCAAGATCATCATAAACTTTTTTCAAGTAGATCTGCCCAAAGGTTTGGATAGCAGATAAATATGAAATCACTGACTGCAAAAAGGAGTAAATTTGTCATACAGTGATTTAAAAGCAATGACTAAACATTTTATCAATGAAACGAAGGAGTGAAGTACACAAATATTATCTCAAAACTGTTAATAAAAGGCGCAATTTAAGAATTTTCTGCAAAATAATGTTGACCATTCATATATTCATATAGCCAAAAAGAAATGGTACTTGGTATTACGAGTATACTTTCTAAACCCTCCCGAAACTGGAGAAAAAACAGGATAGACGAAATATGATTTTTTCATTTGATCACATAATGTGCTGATCAAATAGACGAATCCAATTAATCAAGTGAATATATATCTTTAATACTTCTTAATTTTTTCATTGATAAAAAAAACCTGAGACGTCGTAAATTACCAATATATTATGGATATATATACACCCCATCACATCTGATTAATAAATTACTTTATTGTATTACAAACGAATGGAAATTTTAGTTTGTCAGTAACCCAATTTTGAAGAAGGAATGCTAAGCGGCATATGATCGTCGATTAAAAGGATTAACGGCAAGACAAGCCATGGATGCGACTACTTCTATATTTTCGGAGTTTTGTATTTTCATGATCAATGATGTCGCTCATTTACGCTATTGGATCAATATACAACAATATTTGAACTCAACCTCTAAATTTAATCATCTGACCATATAATCCACACACTCACATCTCTTTTTTCATATTCTTGTTGCTACATTTCAAATGGATGAGTTGGTTCGAGGTGTGAGCTCGTCTGCATATAAAATCATTTTTTATAATTTTCATTTAATTCTGCCTTTTATCGACATTGAAATCTTTATCTGAGCATTTATACAATCGTTTAAATTGATTATTTGATTTATCCAACTACTTCCAACTATTTAATCAATTGAAATAATTTTATTTTAGCGTGCCAATTTTCAAAAACTTCCAAGAAGATACACTTATTAAAATATCCGATGTACTTGAGGAGACTCATTATCAGCAAGGAGACTACATTGTTCGACAAGGAGCGCGTGGAGATACGTTCTTTATTATATCAAAAGGCCAAGTACGTGTGACAATCAAACAACCAGATAAACAGGAGGAGAAGTTTATACGTACTTTGGGAAAAGGCGACTTTTTTGGAGAGAAAGCGCTACAAGGGTAAGTAAATCTATTAGTTCACAATTTATTGGGAAACAAATAATTCATACATTTATTGAAACAGGGATGATTTGCGTACAGCTAACATTATTTGCGATTCGGCGGATGGTGTTACATGTTTAGTGATCGATCGGGAAACATTTAATCAATTAATTTCGAATTTAGATGAAATAAAGAATCGTTACGATGATGAAGGCACCCTCGAACGAAGAAGGTTTGATTTTATTTTCGATCACTTAATATAGAATAATTAATTGATTTTATTTCAAATTTATATTTAATAGAATTAATGAGGAATTCCGTGACGTTAAGTTAACAGATTTGCGAAGAATTGCTACTCTTGGTATTGGAGGATTTGGCCGTGTGGAATTAGTTCAAATTAATTCTGATAATAGTCGTTCATTTGCCCTAAAGCAAATGAAAAAGTCTCAAATAGTCGAAACTCGACAACAACAACATATAATGTCCGAAAAAGAAATTATGGGTGAAGCAAATAGCGAATTTATTGTAAAACTTTTCAAGACATTTAAAGATAAAAAATATTTATATATGTTAATGGAAAGTTGTCTTGGAGGTGAGCTTTGGACAATTTTACGGGATAAGGGAAATTTCGATGATGCTACTACTAGATTTTGTACGGCTTGTGTTGTAGAAGCATTTGATTATTTACACTCCCGTAACATAATATACAGGGATCTAAAACCTGAGAATCTGTTGCTCGATGACAGAGGCTACGTTAAATTGGTTGATTTCGGTTTTGCTAAAAAATTACAATCCGGTCGGAAAACCTGGACATTTTGCGGCACTCCCGAATATGTAGCACCCGAAGTAATTCTCAACAGAGGCCATGACATAAGTGCTGATTATTGGTCGTTAGGAGTATTAATGTTTGAACTTTTAACGGGTATTAAATTAAACAAAAATAATATTTTTATTATCAATTTGTAATGATTGGATTTGTTATAGGAACTCCACCATTTACTGGATCAGATCCAATGCGCACGTATAATATAATACTTAAAGGAATTGATGCCATTGAATTCCCACGTAATATCACTCGCAACGCTAGTAATTTAATAAAGAAATTATGTCGAGATAACCCAGCAGAACGTTTAGGATATCAACGTGGCGGCATAAGTGAGATTCAAAAGCATAAGTACGTTCAATTCAAATGATTTATATATACAACAATACATCATTACAACTCTCAAACAATGAGTCTAATTTCATTATTTACTTTTTTTTCAGATGGTTTGATGGATTTTATTGGTGGGGTTTACAAAATTGCAGGCTTGAACCACCAATTAAGCCGACAGTGAAAAGCGTGATAGATACGACTAACTTCGATGATTATCCACCAGATCCTGAGGGCCCACCACCAGACGATATGACAGGTTGGGACAAGGATTTCTAAATAACATTTAAGTTAACATTTAAGCCAAAGAAAATGTGAATCCATGCAGGCAATCTAGACACCCTTCTAATATATGTATATCAGGGGACTCTCTATAAAAGCATAGATTTAAATGAAAAAGTTTTCTTTGTGCACAATTTTGAGAACAATTTTAGGAATTACGTAACTTTATTTTTACTTTTATTTTTATTTTTACTTTTATTTTCGCTTTCAATATTTTTACATTTTACTTTTTAGTTAAATATGCTTAATAAAAACTTTAAACTAATATTTTAATTCTTATATTGATGTAACCCACATTAAAGCCTTAATGTATCTATATTGCTGGATTTTATATATGAATGTTTATCATTTTAATATTATACTCGTATTAAATATGATAATGCAAATTTGAAGAATTTACCAGAATTTAATTTTGTTGCAATTTTTTATATGTTTTATAATAAATATTTAAATACTATATGGTTTACTCTATGTATGATTAAATTATTTTAATATTTCCGTTTATACATATTATTTTTTTGGTTTGTTGAATGTTTCTTTGGTTATCGTCTTCTTCATATACAATACATTCTCTAACTTTTTACGGTTACTTTAGAACTTAGAAATAGAAATGAACGGAATACTGCATCTCAACTTTTCACTTGTTAAGGATCTCCTAATATCAAGTGAAGATACAAACTTCTGGCTAAAACAATCTCCTCCTGATCCGGACAGTCAAGTATTAGTGAGGTATAGTGTTAAGGTGTAGGGTTCAGTTAAAGCGTTGGATTGAGGAATGAGGCTAGTGCATTAAAGAAGACTATATTAAATAGTATTAAATCTATCTTGTATGTGAATATATATGCATTAGATAACCATGCAAAAACCAAACAAAATACTTTCAGAACGGATCATCTGAACCAGATTTAATTTGGATTGAACGCAATTTTGAAGTATAATTCAAAGTAAATGATAACATAATATGGTTTGTAAAACTGATTGGACAATATCGGAACAAATATCATCAATATATAGATATATAGATGTATTAAAAAGAAGATTTTCTTTCTTACTAAAAGTATCGTTGTTTTCCTTAAAACCCGCTAAAACTGTTACTGAAAAACATGCCTGATTCCATTTTTATGCGAGCAACGAAACTAACGGAGGTACTTAGTTTTTGATTATGAGTAGTTCTGTTATGTTGAACCAACCGCTCTTGGACCAAAACATTTGTTAATAATCAGCATTGAAATATGCAGATGATTTTGCCATCACACTTTACCATCATTATTAAGCAGTTATTAGTAGCTTGGACTATCAAGGATTATCAATGTATATTCGAATAAGACACTGTTGCAATGTTATAAGCAAATATTCAAATACTTTTAGACTCCCTTTAGGTGCATCCCTCTGAGTATTAAGTATTAAAAGAGAGATTTCTGAGAGAAATTTGAAAAAATTCAAATTTTCAGTATGTCAGAACCTCATAGTTACAATGCAGTAAGGGAACGCCACTACTCCAAATACAAAGGACCTTTCGTTTTACATATTGTTTGATACTATTTTTGAAGTGTTAGAAATATTTTATTTCTTTTAACAAATTTTAAAATTTTTCTTCGTTATCTTGCTCGTCTAACATGTTCCCTTAATCAAATTAGTGTGTACGCCACTGCACGTCAGTATAAACAAATTTTTTCTTTTACTTATATAAAAACTGTGTGAAAGTTAAAAGTTATACTTAGGCCCACTCTTGCAATGAATAGACGTTATCATACTCTTATATCTTTTATAGAAGAGGTTATCTTTACATGATATTTACGAAATAGGTGTATATATAATTATGTATGCATGTATAAGTAGTAAGGTTTAAATCAATGCTGTTGTCCGACCAGCCATATAGACAGACTACTACCACCGGCGTCCTTTGACGCTAGTACTTCTGTTATTTTGACACCACATTAATCAATCAGAATTAATTGTCTAGAAACGTTAAGAGAGACAGATATTTTTAGAAACTGAAAATAGTTAAAATCAGTAGACTGCAATTTCAATTTAAAGCAAATAAATCATTTTATTAAATAAAAACCACACAAAATGTGTTTTGCCAAGAGGTCTTGATAAGAACTTGTCAGAAAAGTCGGATACTACCACAAATATTGTAATGACGAAGGTATTTAATAAAAGATCTTATCCATGCACTCTCTTCGACACTCTTCATATGTTAGATAATTGTTGCCAGTAGCGGCACATCCAGTGTAGTAAAAAGGGATGCATTTGCCAGATGAAGTGTCGAAGGCGTAACGTAATATTCGACCACGGCATATACCAGGCGATTGAGGTTCCATACATCCTGTGTATACAATAAGAGACAAATTTTAAATTTACACCTGTTACACCTATATCGTACTAGAAAAATATGTAATTTACCTGGTTGCATCTGTGCGAGAGATATGGAGAACTGAGTCAGCACCATTAAACTAAAGAGTACCACAGCCTTCAGACAGCGATATATTTTAACAAGCCTCATTTTAATATCGAAAATACAAAATATAAGTTTTTATTTTTATAAATATTTTTTATTATAAACATTTAACTACGAATATTTAAATTCGGATATTAATTTTATTTGTTTTATATCGATATGACAGTTACTGCATAAAATGTTCCTGCGATCCAATTGAATATTGATCTCTTCGGAGTGATGAGCTGCGCTCGGTGAGGTGCTCATAGCACTGGCAAAATGAACTAATATCGCAATATATTCTGCCGTAGAAGCACTCAATGCAACGTCGTTATGTTTCGAAAATCGTAAATAAAATAGTGAATAACTTTTAATTAAACTAATGCAGAGCTGAAACTAAATTTAAAACCAAAATTGTGTTGGAGTGACAATATTTTTGCTAATTGCTCAAATCGCACGTACGCGCTCGTTTTTGAGGGTCAAGTACATTCTTCTGTTCTTAAAATTTTTCAAAGAAAAGTGTTAATAATACAAAGAAGTATATGTAAATATTAATGTAATTGATGTTATATAATGTGTTGAAAACAGGGTGCTTCAGCATACGGTTACGTTATTAAGACAGTCCATATGGCTAAAGGAGCTAGCGTAGCTCCGTTCCCTTCATGCTTTTATTCATGTTTATATAAAGATTCTTTTAATCTTTTACTGGATCATATATATTTTTTTTTATTATATTCAAACAAAGTGTAGAGTTTAAATTAATAACAACTAGTCATGTTGACTAACAAGAGGTTTTTTAATTAATATTACAAGTAATGTTGTTACTTATCTAAAGTGAGCATATAGATCTGTGCTAATCATCTCCTTGCTGTTTGAAACGCCTCTACGATGGTTTAAAATTTTTTCCAAAGTAGTCGGAAAATTAAATTTATTTTATTTAAGATAAATATTTTTAAAATTTATTTTTAATTAACAACCTCTTTAGTAACAATAAAGAAGTTGCTGAATAACCTTCACGATTAGTGAATACGTTATATAATGTCACATAATTACATAATGTTACATAATTTATATGTAATAGTTTATATATATTTTATTTTTCAACATAATAATATAAGCAAACGAGAAATAGCCCAGCTCTTATTAGTTCCCCAATTATTATATATGAATATGTTGTAATATGCAATTGTGTATTAATTATTTTGTATAAAAATTGCAGTACAATGGATCCGCCATGATCAGAAGCCCTCCGATTCGTGTATAACCAGCACGCTGTTTGCTTTAGACTAAGTTTCTAAGGGGTACGGAGATAATGTTCTACTGAACTGCACTTTTCTATCCGAAAATATTCAACAATATGGTATGTTAGTCTAATAATGAGATCAATTAGAAGAAAATACATTGAATGGAATACTTCAATATAAGTAATTTTTTACAGGAAGAAAAATTCTTTTTATATTATTTTAATTAATTGAATTTTTGTCTGACCATACAGCTGTTTCGACTATTGCCAAATACCTATCATCAGTGGTCTTGGAATTATTGGGTTATATTAAATCAAAACTGATATAAAATAGAAATAGTGACGACAAAAGTAAAGAAAGCAAAAATCTTAACATTATGAACTATTGATAATGATTTCAAATACAATAAAATTATCAAAACCTGACCTGAGCTCACAAGTTAGAACTCTCACAAATTCGAATTGTCCAGAAATTAGAACCAAAACATTTCAATACATTGTATGCACCAAAAGCTCTAAAATTAGAACTTTTGGTTCTAATTTTTGAGCGAATTCTTCTGTCCGTTTTTTTTTAAATTTTGTATAAATTAGTTAGATGATAAATGTTATTGTTCGTACATTATTTCAAAAAAAATAAAGGGTGGAATTCCGAAAATACTGAATATATTTTTAATACCAATAATGATACTTCAAATAACATTGAAGATGACGTTTCCAATTCCACACCAAATGTATCTCATTCTGAAGCGATTGAAAGCGTGAATATCTTAATTGGTGCAAAAATAATGACATCATATGCCATCCTACTGATCATATACCCAATCCTTTAATTCCCCGTAACGATAACATTGTAAAAAATTTCACTAAACCTAAACCTATACAACAATACTTAATAAGGATTGATTTCAACTATAAAATAAATTTTTTTATAGAATGTTAATTTTTTGATTTTTTATAGAAATAGAACGTGTTCACAAATTAGATTAGTGGTTCTAATTTGTGAGCTTCCACTGACTGTATTACTAAAGGATTTTTTATTTTTGTTTTATAAATTTAGAATACTTAATTGAGCAAATTTTAATTGCAAATATATTTCTTTAAAACCGGTGTTAACACAATAAATTAATGAAATCAACATTTAATTAAAAAAAAAAATATACTTCTTTGCTAACTTGATATTTACTGCCGTTCATATTAGTAATTGCAAGCATACATACATACATTTTAACGACAATATAAATACATGGTAACTATAAAAGCAACAGTTTAGCAATTAAGCTCCCAACAGCTGATAAGTCCTCATGCTGGAGCTGTTCGTCTACTACGACTAACTGAAGCAACGATGGATGAAATGGCTTATTATATATATTGATTATAACAACAACAAAAATGGACAAAAAATTAAAGAATAATAATAGTAAAAATCCTTTTCGAATTGTTTGTAATAAAATGTTTTCTGAGCAGAGCGAAGGACCTAGCACTTCAGACCTAGCACTTCTTAGTTAACTTAAAAAATAATTTTAATGTTAACTCACAAAAAAAAACATATTCAATGTTATATTGAATACATATACATATATACAGTAAATAAAGAAAATTTTATATAACAGAGAAAACTAAATATTTCAGTCTAATTTTATACGTCCAAGTAAGCAATCAAAGCGTTTAAGTAACACGTGTAGCGAGTTCTACGTTGACCAGACCCATTCGTCTTAATAGATAACCAAATACGGTTAGGAGGTAAATTATTTGAGAGAGACAAATAAAACAACAACAAATCGTTAAACTTGAAATCGGTAAAGAAACCATTTTAGCTAAATTAAAGAATGACACCGCTTGAGGTTATATACATCGGATTAAACAGTTCATTGAAGTTTTTTTCTTAATAAGAGATTTGGGGTCTAGTTTATTGTTTTATCAACTTCAGTCCAATGTATACAAAACTGATAAATGGAGATATCTGAGAGAAGCCAATGATTTGCAAATGACTTGATTAAATTGACCATACAGGCAAATATTATAATTTAAATGAAAACTAACGCTTTTTGCAGTTAATGTATAACCTGCCATTAAATTGTCCATTATGAAAAACATAATGGAAACTATCACCGTCCTAGTGAAACTTTGTTATAAATGTATTGTAGCTTTCATTATTATATATTACACAAAATATTTATAGATTTATTAGCTAACATTATTAATATATCAGAAAAAAAGAAATTGGGACTAGTATTAAAACTGCTTGTGGAACTCGGTAGTTCACAATTAGTGATGCAACTCAGTATTTGTCACTAGACCTAGCTACGATTATCCATTTGTAAAAAAACTAAATATACATTTTGTTACTAAGTATAAGAAAATATGGAGTTTATTATGATTCCAGTATTATACTTCAGTATTACTACAAAAGCATGCTGTGTTCTATAAAGAAGAGTGTGAAAACCTTGAAAATCGAAAGGCATTAATAAGTTATAGTGTGCGACTTTCAAAAATTTTAGAGTGGGCACTTAGAGAACAATGGCCTTTTCTAAATACTGATTGGGAAGTAGGAAGGGAAGATAAATCCGCTTTTTACAAATAAAAAAGAGAAACTCTGCATAATATAAACTCTTAAAGAAATTAAGAGGATATAAGGAAGTAATTAAGCACTTGCATAACTAATGAATGAATTTGTCTTTTACAAAGAAAATAGCGATCTTAACGTTTAAATCATTTGAAAGTAAGAAGATACAGAAAATATCATTATATATATAATGTATATATATATATGTATAAATATATATATCATTTATAATATAATGTATATAATATATATATATATTATATATATATATATATATATATATAATATATATATATATATATATATATAATATTATATATATATATATATTATTATATATATATATTATATATATATATATATATAATATATATATATATATATATATATTATATATATGTGTGTAATAATATATATATAATGTATATAATATATATGTCATAATACTCGTTGAGAAAAATGTTAGAGAATGTATTGTATATAAAGAAGACGATAACCAAAAAAACATTCAACAAACAAAGAAATAAAATATGTATAAATGGAAATATTAAATATTATATATTAAGTATTATATAACAAAGTATTTAAATATTTATTAAAAAATATATAAAAATATTGTAACAAAATTAAATTTTGGTAAATTCTTCAAATTTGCATTATCATATTTAATACGAGTATAACATTAAAATGATAAACATTCATATATAAAATCCAGCAATATAGATACATTAAGGCTTTAATGTGGGTTACATCAATATAAGAATTAAAATATTAGTTTAAAGTTTTTATTAAGCATATTTAACTAAAAAGTAAAATGTAAAAATATTGAAAGCGAAAATAAAAATAAAAGTAAAAATAAAGTTACGTAATGCCTAAAATTGTTCTCAAAATTGTGCACAAAGAAAACTTTTTCATTTAAATCTATGCTTTTATAGAGAGTCCCCTGATATACATATATTAGAAGGGTGTCTAGACTGCCTGCATGGATTCACATTTTCTTTGGCTTAAATGTTAACTTAAATGTTATTTAGAAATCCTTGTCCCAACCTGTCATATCGTCTGGTGGTGGGCCCTCAGGATCTGGTGGATAATCATCAAAGTTAGTCGTATCTATCACGCTTTTCACTGTCGGCTTAATTGGTGGTTCAAGCCGGCAATTTTGTAAACCCCACCAATAAAATCCATCAAACCATCTGAAAAAAAAGTAAATAATGAAATTAGACTCATTGTTTGAGAGTTGTAATGATGTATTGTTGTCTATATAAATCGTTTGAATCGAACGTACTTATGCTTTTGAATCTCACTTATGCCGCCACGTTGATATCCTAAACGTTCTGCTGGGTTATCTCGACATAATTTCTTTATTAAATTACTAGCGTTGCGAGTGATATTACGTGGGAATTTAATGGCATCAATTCCTTTAAGTATTATATTATACGTGCGCATTGGATCTGGTCCAGTAAATGGTGGAGTTCCTATAACAAATCCAATCATTACAAATTGATAATAAAAAATATTATTTTTGTTTAATTTAATACCAGTTAAAAGTTCAAACATTAATATTCCTAACGACCAATAATCAGCGCTTATGTCATGGCCTTTGTTGAGAATTACTTCGGGTGCTACATATTCGGGAGTGCCGCAAAATGTCCAGGTTTTTCGACCGGATTGTAATTTTTTAGCAAAACCGAAATCAACCAGTTTAACGTAGCCTCTGCCATCGAGCAACAGATTCTCAGGTTTTAGATCCCTGTATATTATGTTACGGGAGTGTAAATAATCAAATGCTTCTACAACACAAGCCGTACAAAATCTGGTAGTAGCATCATCGAAATTTCCCTTATCCCGTAAAATTGTCCAAAGCTCACCTCCAAGACAACTTTCCATTAACATATATAAATATTTTTTATCTTTAAATGTCTTGAAAAGTTTTACAATAAATTCGCTATTTGCTTCACCCATAATTTCTTTTTCGGACATTATATGTTGTTGTTGTCGAGTTTCGACTATTTGAGACTTTTTCATTTGCTTTAGGGCAAATGAACGACTATTATCAGAATTAATTTGAACTAATTCCACACGGCCAAATCCTCCAATACCAAGAGTAGCAATTCTTCGCAAATCTGTTAACTTAACGTCACGGAATTCCTCATTAATTCTATTAAATATAAATTTGAAATAAAATCAATTAATTATTCTATATTAAGTGATCGAAAATAAAATCAAACCTTGTTCGTTCGAGGGTGCCTTCATCATCGTAACGATTCTTTATTTCATCTAAATTCGAAATTAATTGATTAAATGTTTCCTGATCGATTACTAAACAAGTAACACCATCCGCCGAGTCGCATATAATGTTAGCTGTACGCAAACCATCCCTGTTTCAAGAAAACATTTGTATCTCAATAAATTGTGAATTAATAAATTTACTTACCCTTGTAGTGCTTTCTCTCCAAAAAAATCGCCTTTTCCCAAAGTACGTATAAACTTCTCCTCCTGTTTATCTGGTTGTTTGATTGTCACACGTACTTGGCCTTTTGATATAATGAAGAACGTATCTCCACGCGCTCCTTGTCGAACAATGTAGTCTCCTTGCTGATAATAAGTCTCCTCAAGTTCATCGGATATTTTAATGAGTGTATCTTCTTGGAAGTTTTTGAAAATTGGCACGCTAAAATAAAATTATTTCAATTGATTAAATAGTTGGAAGTAGTTGGATAAATCAAATAATCAATTTAAACGATTGTATAAATGCTCAGATAAAGATTTCAATGTCGATAAAAGGCAGAATTAAATGAAAATTATAAAAAATGATTTTATATGCAGACGAGCTCACACCTCGAACCAACTCATCCATTTCAAATGTAGCAACAAGAATATGAAAAAAAAGATGTGAGTGTGTGGATTATATGGTCAGATGATTAAATTTAGAGGTTGAGTTCAAATATTGTCGTGTATTGATCCAATAGCATAAATAAGCGACATCATTGATAATGAAAATACAAAACTCCGGAATTACAGAAGTAGTCGCATCCATGAGTTGTCTTGTAGTTAATCCTTTTTATCGACGATCATATGCCGCTTAGCATTCCTTCTTCAAAATTGGATTACTGATAAACTAAAATATCCATTCGTTTGTAATACGATATAGTAATTTATTAATCATATGAGATGGTGTGTATATATATCCATAATATGTCTTGGTGATACAACTTAATATGGAAACTATAGCATTGACTTTGAAGAGCCATCAAAACTTAATAGATCAGTTTTTTTTATCAATGGAAAAATTAAGAAGTATTAAACATATGTATTCACTTGATTAATTATATTCGTTTATTTGATCAGCACATTATATTCCCAAATTAAAAATTTATATTTCGCCTATTATTGCAGTCCATAGCGATGTCGCTTTATTTTCGGGAGGGTTTAGAAAACATACTTGTACTGCCATGTGTTACGCTAATACAACTTGTTTATTAGCAGCCGATTTTGCTATTTAAAAAAAAACTCAAATTTCATGTGGAATTAGGTGCTGAATGCGCGATGTAAGCTTATGTTATATTATGTTATTGTAATTTTTGATAATGGCCTTTGTTCAGTTATTTTACTGGGTAAAACTCAGTAATTTTTGTTTAGATTTGTTTTCCAAAATGACATCTCTGATGAACTGGTTTTTATATCTGAACACGCGTAGACGATAATTGTTGTGACTATATAAAAGTCGGCATTCATGTTAGTGGATTTACATTTAATGTAAAACAGTGCTACAATTAAAGAAATCGTCAACATCGCTCCTGATATATCTAACATTAAAAACCTGTACTTTATTTCCTTACACTCAAGGAATCCAAAAAACTTTGTAAAGTGTAATAATATCACTTACCTTTTCAATATTTGACATAGTTTCGCAATTAACTGGGCTCTAAATTTTCGCGTGCGAACCATCTTGAAAAATTGAAGTTTTCAATGAAAAAGTTTTTAATTTCTTATTTTGTTTGAAAACTATGTCCATATGACTTTAAGTTGTGAATATGAAACATACAACTGCTGTGAATGTTTCAAATGAAATCGGTTTAAAAAGGGAACTTTTTGTAAATTGCAGTTTGTTTACATATGAAATTTTTTGTTTCGTATCTTCATTTTCTTTTTGTTCCTTTAAAACATTAACTTATAATTGCAATATTAAAACTTTTTGAAGCAACATTTAATAAGCTAATAAATAGTAAATATATGTATACTAAACACAACCCGTAACTAAACTCAAAAATTAGTTAAGTACGATAGTCTAAACAAACTATAAAAAAGCTGAATTAATATGAAATTAATACTTATTAATTTGGATAATAAATGAATTTCACACATTTTAAATCTATGCGTTAATTGTCATATTCTAGGTCTGTTCTACGAACTACTGGTAGTAAAACTCAAGTAAAACACAAGTAAAGTACAAACTGAGTGCGTAACACAAATAAAGTGCTAAATTACGCTTTTTACACAAATTTTCATGGAACAGCTTTGTGTAAAATCTGGTGAGAACACCAATGCCGCGCAAATAAACAATACAAAAATTTAAATTCAAACCAAAACAGCTGATGCATACATCAACACAAATTTTACTTGAAATAATATATACGAGTAAAGTCTGTGTAGCATTTTCAAATTTCGACAGGGACAATTTGCTAGTAAAACGCACTTGTGTATACACAGTGTTACTACAAGTAGTTCATGGAACAGATCTATTATTATATATATTATCATATACAAAAACTTATATAAACAGAACACTTCTATAATATTTTACTTAGTTTACTTATACTTATTTAATTTATTTTATGTGGTTAAGTTAAATTTAATTATTTTGTAAAATTATTTTTAATTTTGTATTAGGTATCCAAAAATGTTAAATTTCATCATTTTATTAATTTTAATTAGTAACTTTTGATTTATTTTGATCTATTGTGGTCCTAAATAGCAAATCCAGAGCTTACAATTACGTACCAACATCGTATAACGACACATTTTTTGGATCTAGCAAAAATGGTTCGAAAAACATTTGTTGCATTGATAAAATGTAAACAAATGTGCGTTCAGTGAGTGCCAAAATAGTATAAATTGAGCTGCCATACGGCGTTAAAACTCCCACAAGAATAACATGAATTTTACGCAATAAACTAACCACCTTTAGACCATTTGAGTTATTATTTGGCTTCCACCTGTTGGTACAGCAAAAGTTATAATAAGTTGCATAATAGCTGTTGATTTCAAACATTATAAGTTTTTGATGGCGCAATTTTCTGCTGGGTAAGTGTAATGTCCCAGCGTAAAGATTTAACATGTATTTGTTTTGTGTGTATATTCTGTTTTTCGTAAAAGATAACGAATGTCTTATCCACGCGTTTGTTGTATTTTTTATTTTAAAGCAGATAACAATTTTAACATCAGATTCGTGGATGTGTTGTACTTTGTTAGCCTTTACAACTAATGTCTTAGGCAAAGTTTCCGTCGGCAGTCTGTAGATAGAGATCAACTGTAAAAGTTGTAGAAGTTATTGGAATTGTGTTGTCAGTACCTGTGATTTCGTTATTTGTTACTCTTAATCCGTAATTCGTAATTGTGCGCATTTGGCTACTAAAAATCTACAAAAATGGCAAAAACTCGAGTTTATGTTGTTGGTGTTGGAATGACAAAGGTATGAATTAATATAATTATTTGTCTGCCGCTTGTTGCACTTTTGACTTTCGCCCTAATGACGCTTTGCCCTTTGCACCACTATTGGGCGAGCATGTGTGTATGTCTATGGGGGGCAAATATGTTAACAACATTGGATGTGTACACAACTAAAGTTTAATTTGTGTTCTTTATTAAAAACATAAGTTAGGCTTTAATATATATTTATTATAATTATTTTCAGTTATTTTGGATAAATTTGGTATCCCTTGATCATTCTATAAGTTAAAATTATTAATAAAAACCTGTGGGAGTTGTTTCGCCGGTTATAAAATTGTTAAATATAATTGTTGTTTAATCTGATAAGATAATTTAAGACAAATGAGAAAAGATTTGATATTCTCGCTAAGTGGGTGCAAAGTTCAAACATACATACAATTGGACTCAGTTAAAGGTCCCGATGGAAAAAATCCAATTACTTCTAACGTATACATGTAATAAGGAACACATCAGAGCCTTATGCCTTGGCTGTTTATGAACAGTGCATCACTGCCTGGAAGGTGATCACAAAATAGCTCACAAGCTTTCTTGGAATTTCATTTTATTTCTGTTCATCCATTGGCACAGTTTAGTTCCAAAAAATGACTTCAGTTGTACTCCCTCGATCATGCCAGCGTTGTTATTATCTTTTCATTTGTTGTTGTTGTTAAAATCCGCTAGAACCTGTGAAATCCGTTTGGGGGATGTTGAACGGCATTTCGTCGTTGCTGGCGATGAATGGCTCCAGGACTTAGGCCCGACCGTTCGTGGAACCGCCTTTTTATTTAATACCTTTCCTCTCACTTCAAAATATTTCAAATTCTTTTCTTTTTTTTAAAGTTTGAGAAGCCCGGCCGTCGGGCCGACGTTTGTTACCCAGACATGGCTAAAGAAGCAGTTACAAAGGCTTTGCAAGATGCTAAAATTAACTATTCAGAGGTACAGCAGGCCACCGTTGGCTACGTATATGGTGACTCGACAAGTGGACAACGTGCATTGTACGAAGTTGGCATGACTGGTATTCCAGTCTACAATGTTAACAATAATTGCTCTACAGGATCAAGCGCAATATTTTTAGCAAAACAAATAATTGAATCCGGCAATGCTGACTGTGTGTTGGCACTTGGTTTTGAAAAAATGGAACGTGGTTCTCTATCAGCCAAAGTAAATTATATATATAAAATTTCGCAATTTTTACATATTCATATTATTTCTTTTCTAATCCATATATAATTTAGTATTTAGATCGTGCTAATCCCATGGATCGTCATGTTGCTGAAATGAATAAATTAGCCGAAAAAACTGCAGGACCTAGGGCAGCGCTTATATTTGGAAATGCAGGCAAGGAACACATGAAAAAATATGGCACGAAACCAGAACATTTCGGCAAGATTGCATGGAAGAATCACAAACACTCAGTTAATAATCCGTACGTAGTTACAGTAGATAGTAAATTATTTATAATATATGTAAAATTTTATATATATTTTAAGATATTCTCAATTCCGTGATGAATACACATTTGAACAAATTATGAAATCACCACAGATTGTTGAAGGTATACTTACCAAATTGCAATGTTGTCCAACTTCTGATGGCTCTGGTGCAGCTATTTTGGCTTCAGAGCAATTTGTTCGTCGTCATGGACTCGAATCACAAGCCGTAGAGATCGTTGGAATGGAAATGGCTACCGATCCAGAATCAACATTTAGCGATAAGAGCCTTATGAAGATTGCTGGTTATGATATGACACGTCTGGCTGCATCTCGTCTTTTTGCAAAGACTGGTTTTAAACCACAAGATGTAAACGTTGTGGAACTGCACGACTGTTTCTCAGCGAATGAGCTTATCACTTATGAAGCGTTAGGCTTATGCGAAGAAGGTAAAGCAGGCGAATTCATTGACCGAGGCGATAACACTTATGGTGGAAAATATGTGGTCAATCCCAGTGGCGGTTTGATATCAAAAGGACATCCATTAGGCGCTACTGGTTTAGCTCAATGTGCTGAACTATGTTGGCAATTACGCGGTTTGGCTGAGAAACGTCAAGTAGCAAATTGTAAATTGGCGTTGCAACATAATTTGGGATTAGGAGGAGCTGTTGTAGTCGGATTGTATCGTTTGGGATTCCCTGCTGCAGCTGGAGTTAAATATAATTTGACAACTGCTTCTTTAAAAGTGCCTCAAGCGAAATTATAATTTCAAATATAACAAGTTATTTGTTCTTATAAAGACATTGACATACTTATAAATATATCACACCTTTCTACTGTACCCACTCGATATGGGAATCGATATTAAAGCAATAAATAAATATGTGTATACATTTGTATGTAAATTTCGCCTTATATACAAACATATTATTTTAATGGTTTTGTAACGATTATTTTACAATAAACTTATATCTGTCTAAACATTAAAAATGTAAAAAAATTGTTTGAGTTTTAAATATTTTATCTCATTCTAAAGATCACTGATAATAAATTACGATACATAATTCTACATATAAAAAAGATTAAGTCAAATAATCTAGATGGGTATATAGATGCCTCTTGAAGTGGCATCCACATAGATTAACAATGAATATCAGAGGGTGCGTGCACTACATATAAACTAAAATTGAAATGAATTAAATATGTAAGAGCACTGCGACGAAAATTGTATCATCTCATGTTTTTGAAAATTTTGTGAAAAAAAAATTAAAGTACTATATTTAGTTGACCGGAAAAACTTGCGTCATTAACCCCTCCCCTCTTAAATATGAAAAGTTTAATATTGTTTAATAACGCAGCTTTGACATTTTTTCCTAGGTCCTAATTTTTTTGAATAGTAATAGTTATTACGATTAAGGGTTTTATAGAAAGTCTTGTCCAAAGAATTGTTTGGTATCAGAACTCCTTTTCTTTTGTCACGATATGGACATGTTATCCCTGTCCACCCAAAAAATGAAGTGATAATATATCTTTTTTTATTCTTTTTATATAATTCATCTACTTTTTATATTTATTTTGTTGGTAAAATTACGCCAATGACTGGTGCAATCGTCGTCAGGAAATGGATGCATTGCATAATTTAGGCTTTAAGTTTTTGGAGGGTGATTTTTAAACAAAGCAATGTTAAAAATCTTTAAACAATTAAAACTAAAAAAAATGAATTTATTATGTATGATTGTTGATTTTTTTCAATAAAAATAATTGTACCATTCGTCTGGGTTGCTGTTAAGTATTGGGTTGCTTAGCTATTTAGTTGTATTGTTCTTTGACAATTATGATTTATAGAAAGAAATTGCGTATCTTCTTGACAATATAATCTACAAAACAAATATCCCACAAAAAATATGAATAAAAACATTTCCTAGTAAATATCTTCTTTATAATTTTTGCAACACCACCAACCCCAATTAACGACGGATTTTATGTGAAATTAAATTGTAAACAGCCAGATAAAAAAAAAACAAAATATCACGAAAAATAAAAAGTACTTATTTAAATTTCATAAAACTTTATTAAAATATATTTTATATATAAAATTTATATTTTTAATTTAACTTATCAAAATATTTGTTTATTATCTTTGTTCGCAATTTGCTTTTTAATGTGATTCGTAGTTTCATTTTGTGTTCCTTTTTATCAAAACTTGCATACGTTGTTGCCATATTGAAATATTTTGTGGCAGCATTGCCGCAATAGAAAACAGTTATAAAACATAAAATTATGTTTTGACACAATTATTTGATATTTTTCCGTCGGTGAAATGGATGCAATTTCGACTTCTGGACTTTTTCCAAAACGCTATATGCTGATATATCTAATATGGCATTTACACTATCCTCATTTTAGCCAAAAATCAAAAATGTCATTTGAGGCCAATGTAAATGCCAAACAACTTATCGGAATGTAATTATACAAATTTTCACATAAAAATAAAAAAAAAAATAATAAGATAAAGCTAATTAATGTAAAAATGTAAAAAACATAAACTAGTTGCCGCCATTTGACTTGTGTAGTTTTTGTTAATATAATCAATATAAAAATTGTAAAAGTTGCAGAGTGATTTCTCTGATATAGCAGCACTTTTTACTTTTAAAGTCGGTTTTATTTTTTTAAGGATTTTTAGCTTTTATTTCGATCGTTATTTTTTTTATATATCCTGATGAAGGCAAAAGCGAATTTTCCGAAATACATATAGATATTTAAAAAATATAATGTTCGAATATCTATCGACACTTGTAAATTAGTATTGAATATTTTAGAAGCCATGGGGAAGAGGAAAATAAACAGAGTTTATAAATGAAATTGACGAACTAAACAACAATAGCTGTAATTTTTTCTTTCAGAGTAACAAAAAAATACTCGCAACATATGAAAGAAAGCATGGGAAGCAACAACAATACTCTTAAAATCGTCAGAATATGTTTTTACTCGCATATATTTTTACTCCTGAGTTTAAGTGCAGCCAAATTCAAAAATCAGTCTATTGTGAATGTTCATATTTATTAATAAATTCAAATACATAAATAACTAAATTCATTTAAATTGATAAGTTAAAAATGTTAACCATTGTCTTTTTAATATTCATTTTGTTTTCTTTCATTTAAATTAATTAATTTTTAGTGTACAATTTTTATATACCACATTGTTCACAATACAACAAAAAACATATGTCAATAATAAGCATTTAACATATTTTAAGAGTGTTGCCAATTCGTTTCAACCGGGCTTAATGCTGTTTTTATACAACTCAGAAAAAATTATAATTTATCGGAATTTTTCTCAATAGTGATGTACAATTACACTATTGTCAATTATGCATATTTTTTCAACTTGATTTTGTACAAATAATGTTTCAATCGTAATTTTAGCTATGTGATATTTGTATAGAATCGAGTTATGATATCAACCTGAATTTATAACGAATTACAATCAAAATAGCGGTTACTTGTGCTGTATGAATAGGCTTTTAATTTAAAATCAATTACATGCGTAAAACTTTTATAACAAAGTCAATTTAGTAGACAAACTTCGATAAGTTTTAGCATTAATACTTTTCTACTGTATTTACACTTACGATAATCGAAGTTCATTAGTACATATTTGTATTTTACATACAACTCGTTATAAAGTCTTGCACATTTGACTAGGTCATTCTAATTTGCTACTGGGTCAACGTTATGTACCAGCGTAAAGATTTAACATGTATTTGTTTTTTGTGAATATTTTGTTTTTAGCAAAAGATAACGAATGTCTTATCCACTCATTCGCTGTTTTTTCATTTCAATGCAGATAACAATTTTCACATCAGATTCGTCGTAGATTTCATATTGTGCTTTATTAAGCAGTGCAACTAATATTTTAAGTAGACAAAGTTACCATCGACAGTCTGTAGACAACAGTCAACTGTAAAAGTTGTTAGAGTTATTGGGATTGTGTTGCCAGTACCTGTGATTTCGTTATTTGTTACTCTTAATCCGTAATTCGTAATTGTGCGCATTTGGCTACTAAAAATCTACAAAAATGGCAAAAACTCGAGTTTATGTTGTTGGTGTTGGAATGACAAAGGTATGAATTAATATAATTATTAGCCTTCCGCTTGTTGGGTTTCTGACTTTTGCCCCGATGGGGCTTTGCCCTTTGCACCTGCAATGGGCAAACATGTGTGTATGTCTATGGGGGGCAAATATGTTAACTGCATTAGATGCACAACTAATTTATATTTAATTTTTACATTTAATATATGTGTTAACGCCTAGTTGATATATAAAATACAATTATTTTCAGTTATTCTCTCTCTCTCCGGTTTTATATGTTTTCCTTAGATCATTTGATTAATTTACATATCCAATAGAAACATGTTGAAGTTGTTGTTCCGGCGCTTGTCAAACCACAAGTTACAAATATACTAAATATAATAGTTGTGCATTATGATAAGATAAAATTAGACCAATACGAAAAGATTGTATATTCTCGCTTAAGTGGGTGCAAAGTTCACACATACATACAGTTGGACCTAGTTAAAGGTCCCGAAGACAAAAGTACAAGTACCAATATTGTTTACATCAAGGAATGAAACATTTACTTAATTTTGGCCTAATCAAACTCCAGGCTGGGGTGAGCAGCTTACCCCAGTCTGGGATATAATTGTAGCACATTATCTGGGAGATAATTTGGACTACTCTACACTAATCATCCCAGATGATAAGCAAAAATGCATTAAGCACGGTATGCACATAACTTGCGTTTGTTTATGGTCTTGATTTTCCAGGATGCAAAAAGTCAAAACTCTGCTGTTTAATGACAAAATTCACAAGAAATTCCGTTCAATCAACACTGTATAGGAATGATACGCCTGTTTAAGTTGTTATAGGCTAAGGCTCTGCTAAACAATGAGTGAGCACATTTGTGTTTTGCATTAAAAATGATAACCAAATCAGGATTAGTACAGAGTTCCAATAAGTTCTATGTTATCATTATTAGTGTAAAGTATGTCTTTCTACTGTCCATACAAATGCAGAAACTCTAATGGGTGTGGCAGCAATTATCGAGTTCGATAAGTGGGTCCTCCACATACATCTAACCACTGATGAAACTAATAGCTGTTATAGTTATATTTTATGTAGTACTTTCTATATTGTTTAAAAATATTTAAAAAAAAAATTTTTTTTATAGTTTGAGAAGCCCGGCCGTCGGGCTGACGTTTGTTACCCAGACATGGCTAAAGAAGCAGTTACAAAGGCTTTGCAAGATGCTAAAATTAACTATTCAGAGGTACAACAGGCCACCGTTGGCTACGTATATGGTGACTCGACAAGTGGACAACGTGCATTGTACGAAGTTGGCATGACTGGTATTCCAGTCTACAATGTTAACAATAATTGCTCTACAGGATCAAGCGCAATATTTTTAGCAAAACAAATAATTGAATCCGGCAATGCTGACTGTGTGTTAGCACTTGGTTTTGAAAAAATGGAACGTGGTTCTCTATCAGCCAAAGTAAATTTTATATATAAAAATATAAATATATATGTATATACTGTACTTAATGGAGAAACGTTTTCATAAAATGCAGCTAAGTAGACATATTTATTTGTGTAGCGCATTTAGCCTAGAAATTTTATTTAAATCGAAAATACTTATCTCTAAACTACATTGTATATACATATATATACATATTAATACTTATGTATTTTAACGTATTCATACAATTTACTTTTAATAATTAGTATTTCGATCGTGCTAATCCCATGGAGCGTCATATTACCGAAATGGGTGAATTAGCCGAAATATCTTCCTCTCCCATGGCCGCACAAATATTTGGAAATGCAGGCAAGGAGCACATGAAAAAATATGGCACGAAACCAGAACATTTCGGCAAGATTGCATGGAAGAATCACAAACACTCAGTTAATAATCCGTACGTAGTTACAGTAGATAGTAAATTATTTATAATATATGTAAAATTTTATATATATTTTAAGATATTCTCAATTCCGTGATGAATACACATTTGAACAAATTATGAAATCCCCACAAGTGGTTGAAGGTGTTCTGACTAAATTGCAATGTTGTCCAACTTCTGATGGCTCTGGTGCAGCTATTTTGGCTTCAGAGCAATTTGTTCGTCGGCATGGACTCGAATCACAAGCCGTAGAGATCGTTGGAATGGAAATGGCTACCGATCCAGAATCAACATTTAGCGATAAGAGCCTTATGAAGATTGCTGGTTATGATATGACACGTCTGGCTGCATCTCGTCTTTTTGCAAAGACTGGTTTTAAACCACAAGATGTAAACGTTGTGGAACTGCACGACTGTTTCTCAGCGAATGAGCTTATCACTTATGAAGCGTTAGGCTTATGCGAAGAAGGTAAAGCAGGCGAATTCATTGATCGAGGCGATAACACTTATGGTGGAAAATATGTGGTCAATCCCAGTGGCGGTTTGATATCAAAAGGACATCCATTAGGCGCTACTGGTTTAGCTCAATGTGCTGAACTATGTTGGCAATTACGCGGTTTGGCTGAGAAACGTCAAGTAGCAAATTGTAAATTGGCGTTGCAACATAATTTGGGATTAGGAGGAGCTGTTGTAATTGGATTGTATCGTTTGGGATTCCCTGCTGCAGCTGGAGTTAAATACAATTTGACAAGTGCTTCTGCCACAAGCCCAGATGGTTTCAAAGTAACTCCACTGCTCAAATTACTTGAGACCGCCATGCAAGAAGATCAAGACAATCTTATAGAAAAAGTCCGTGCAATATATGGTTTTAAAGTAACAAATGGACCGAAGGGCCAAACAGGCTTTTGGGTTATTGATGCCAAAGAAGGCAAAGGCAAAATAACTTTCAATGGCAAAGGTAAACAATTATGGTATTCGATAATATAACTGTGATATTAAGTATCCTATTATTTTTTTTAAGAAAAATGTGATATTACATTCATAGTAAGTGACGAAGATGTTACCGAATTAATCAGCGGAAAATTGCCTCCACAAAAAGCATTTTTCCAAGGCAAAGTAAAGGTGCAGGGCAATATGGGCATAGCTATGAAACTCATGGACTTGCAGCGGTCGGTACAAGGACGTATTGAAACATTACGAGCAAAATTATAATTCCAAACATAGCATATTGCTTTTTTTATGACATACTTATGAATATATATTTATTTATATATGTACTTATTGGGTATGGGATTTCCACGTTAAATGGCAAAGATACAAGCAACAAATAAATATGTGCATACATTTCTATATTTTTCCTTATATACAAACATACTATTTTAACGTTTTTATGACAATTATTTTATAATAAACTATTTGACCGCATATTTAACGGTTTTTACATTTTCCTTTCCTACTATCAGGATTTCATATTTAAATAATTTATCTTAATCTAATATAACTGTGTTCACAAATAATAACTGCGATACATAATTGTATTTACAAATGAGATTATGTCAAATACTATATGTATACATAAATTTTCATATATTTATCATTTTAAATAGCCTACGACAGCTTTCCTTCCATTTATCGCAAATGTCCTTACAAATTGATTATTATGATCGAAACACAGAAGCTCCACATTGAGATATATGGCAAGCATACATAGACCAATATATATACGGACAAATATAGCATCCTATATTTACATATATATGTTCATTCCTTTTCTTGTGCAGCTTTCTCTTTCGCAGTTTTTCGTCTCGATGATGTATGTATTTGATTTAATTTTCATCAAATATTACATAAATTATATAAGAATTCAATATTTAAAGAAAATATACTTAAAAATAGATTTGTTTAATTATTTAGCAATGTCTTAGAGGAACTTTTTTGCACAATTCTGTTTTCGTAAACAATATTAATAATGCAAGCCCAGACTGAAGCAAAGCAAATGAACTTAATAAGAACAAAATAAGAAAAACTTAGTATTCTGGAATCGAAATTAAGGAATATATCTTCAATACTCGATAGTCTGGTGTAAAAAAAATCTGTTTATTCTGCAAGGTGCTCAGTGCACTCTGTATACGAATACATTTTAATGCAAAGCTCACATATTTGTTCTTTACAATGCAATTTTGAGGTTGAATTAACTCACTTCTAGTAATAAATATATATAAAGAAAATATCAAGCCCTGAGCACTGCATTAGCCTCTATTAAAGACATATAAGCAGGGTAATAAAGATAGTTCGAGGGCAAACTATAAAATTGCCTTACGGTCATCTAGGTGGGTGTATGGATGAGTTATCGTCCCAGTACAACACTGTAACATTTTGAGTTTATAATTAATTCCACACGTAGGAATCTTGAGCCAAATCTTATTTCGAACTGTTTCTTATAAAAAGAAAAATAGATTTTTCAATTGTATATTAAAATATATAAACATTTATATATTAAAATATATAAACATTTATGTATTAAAATATATATGTATTTAAAAATATAAAAATGTATATATCAAAATATATAAAGATTTATATTTAAAAATATATAATATATTATCTAAGATTCCATATAATTAACTAAGCAGGTTCCCACCCACTTTTGCTTATTTATAAAAATTATTCTTTATTCTAACCTTTGAGAACCTTTCAAAACCAGAGGCAAAGCATGGTTTACATTTTTGGCTGTCTTACTTAGTTCACTGCAAACCTATGTCTAGAATACTTCATAGTTCAAGCGGCTTACAATACTATTAGATATTTATGAAATCTTTGTTTAGGTCCTCTGAATATTGGCTAGAATAATTAATAATGTTGCAGTATTGTACTGGTGTGGCGTTACTATATCCTTAATTAAAAATATTATTTATTTATGTAGTTTTAATATAAATACTACACTTACTTATATTCAGTAAAGGCCATTTTATGGTATTATTTAGAAAGCAAACAGACAGACATTAGCCTTGCTTTATTTTAAGCGCATATATATGTGTCCAAGTTAAAAATAAAACTTGCATTTCATGTTGTGGAATATTGTGGCAAACTCTTGCAAGTCAATATTAAATGAATTTATATTTTTCTATATATACAATATATTATATATAAAACAAAAACTAAGATTTTTTTCCTATTTGACTATATGCGATATCTCCTAAACAAAAATTAAGCGCATATGCACTAACAATAAATACGGCTACTGACACACACTTGCAATGCTTTATGGCTAGCTAGTTTCTAATAGATATATATCTATCTATCTATATATAAGAATCTATTTCACGATTCAACTGTGAAAATTTATGAAAATCTCAATCTTTCATCAATAAATAAAGAACTGCAATAGTGAGTTTGAAATATATTTTAAAACTTAGTCCAATAGGTTAACAAATTAAGTGAGGGCGTTCATTATACTACTGATTTGTAATGTTTATGATAAGAAACTTACATTGGGAGTAGTGCTTCAAAGCGTTTGAGCATTACGATGTACGCGCAGATCGACTATATTTGAATGAGAACATTTTTTAGCTGCTCAAACAGGAAGGAATTCTGCTCCACGTTTCATATTAATTTTGTTTTGTTTTGTTTTATACAAAAACGTATAACAGCAAATATTGGATTAGAGCTCGTATACTCTATCAACGAAATGCCCGAGCATATATTCAAGTATCGAAATGCTGTTAACATCGAATAAGTCGAATAATATTTGAAGCTCTAATAAAAAAAAACTTTAAAATTAACTGCACTGCATATTTTAGCAAATTATTTACTGTCATTCATGGCATTTTGTCTGTTATTTATACAAATGAAGAAGTGAAGAAGTAGGAATCTCTTGAAAATCCATATGCGCATATGAACTTTAAACTAATATCATTTGCTCCTAACATTCAATAGGGGACAATATGGCAAAGTTTAACAAAATGGTAAATGAGGTATGTCAGAAAATAACCATTATTAATAATTGTATCAACTTGACTGCTTGTCTGTCGCCTTTTCTTTAGTTTTTTGAAAAGATTGAAATAATTGTCTCATGATCAACATTGACATTGACATTGGCATTGACATTGATAGTGACATTAACAGTGACAGTGACAGTGACAGTGACAGTGAAATCTGCATTGCTCAGCGCAATGTACGTATAAAATTAAAGCATTTATACTGCTCTTTAATGTACAAATTACTTAAATTGAATATTTTCTAATTGTTATTAAATTTAATTTATGTTTAAAATGGAAGTTGGTTTTTGTAAAATATTTAGGCACTGGTATACGTTTTTTTAATACGAACACACTTGACCCGACCCTTTATCGAAAATTCGCTTTAGAAGCTTTAATATTTTCGTACTGAACCCCTGTTTTACTACTTCTCTATGTTTGTTAATGTATCTTTTCCTTTTTTGGTTTTATGTTATAGAAGCTGAATTCATATTAAAAGTGCATAAAAATGTTTGTACAAATTTACATATGACGCCAAATGGCTTAAGATGCTTACACTATTTACTTAATAAGTAATTCTAATGCATTGATGATGAGTAACTCAGTGTTGGTGGTAGGTTACTACTAGCGGAACTTGTAGATGCAATTGGCAAATTATTGCTGTCCATGCTTGCCATTATTGAGCTAAGTAGATCTATTGATGTGGACTTGTTGTTGTTTGTTTGTTGTAATCGACTTTGTTGTTGTACAGTTGATTTCTTGATTTGTTTTTGGTTGTAAGTTGGTAAAGTAGAAGTTGTTGTAGAGTTTTTATGGGAATCTGCAACGAGTGTTGTATCAGAAATTTGTTGCGTTAGTGTATGTGGATGTGGATGTGGAGTTTGTATGGCTGGTAACAAAATAGTAGCTGCTGTCATTGGTGCAGCTTCGATTTCTATTGTTTCGGCAACTGTTATTTCCTCTTCGTGATCTACATCAATTTGTGATTGACATATAACGGACTCTGCGTTATCAATTAATGTGAAAGTCTCCTCAATAATAGGGAAATCACTCAATTCTATATTATTTGTTTCCGTTCTTTCACATTGTCTTATATTTTGGCTGTCCGATAATACGTCTAAACGTGCACCTGTTACAGTTGTTGCAAACGATGGTTGTACTGTAGTTAATGATGGTGGTGGAACTGTGGTTAATGGTGGTGTCGGTTCATCAGATACTATTTGTACTTGAATTTTTATCTCGGGTTCTTTTTGATTAAGACTATTAACATAAGCCTCTCTATGCGCAAATGGTGTCTGCGGTACTAATGGCAATGGTAACGCAGGGACAATTGGATCTGGTAATCGCGGAATTTTTGTTGGCGTTTGTATAGAAGTGAACTGCTGCTGGGTTATAGAATGTGAATGTGAATGAATGTGTGCGTGTTTTTTGTACGAAATTGTACTGGATTCAACAGGTGCGGACAAATTCTTGTTACTGTTTAAATTAGATACTTTACTTTGACTACTGCTAGTGTTGGATTTGCGGCGCTCTGATTTTATTGCATTATGCTGACGATTTTGAATTAAATGCTGCGATCCTATATTGTTAGCTTCGGTTTTTTCACTATTTTCAAGAATTTCACTCGGATGATTTGTTATTTTTTTATATGCCATATTGGTAAATGTTGATGTTGTCGTTGACATAGATGAACTCATTTCACGAAGTGGCTGCAAATCCTTATTTGCTGTATGCTCTAATACTAATTTACGCATATCAATTTTAGTACTATTATCTTGATGCTTATGGTGTTTCTTTTTAGATACATTCAATGATGGGGACTCGTTCCCATCTTTTGAGTTTGCATCTTCAGTTCCACTCTCACTGGATTGTCTATCTCTGCTACTGTTGCTACTATAACAGATCTCTGGATCCGCAATCTTCTTAAGATCAATTTTCTTTGTCTTGCCATCATGTGAACGCTTACATGGTGTTTTTTTGGTTCCATCTTCATTTGTTATTGGATTTGGTAGTATTGTTTGCTTTTCTTTGTAATGCGGGGGCTCAGCAAGCACAGGGTTATTCTTTTCATTGATAACTTCCTGACCGGGGTAATACTGTCGAAGACGTAAGTGCCATGCTAAATAATAATTGAAATTATATGATTTTAGTTATATTTTTTACTAGTTAATATACTTTAAAAATATAATGCTCACCAACACTAGTCACAGCCGTTACTGTTCTAAACTGATGTATGATATTACGTGGCAAAAAATAAATATCATTGTCTGACAACTGTATACGAGCATAACGTATACCTTCACGCCTCAACTGATTCAATTTAGCATCTTCAATCCACTGAACACATTGTGATATGGGCGGTTCATGTAAATCTAATTGCAAGGTTCCAACTAAATAATTAAAATCCTGAGCAGCAAAGGCAACTACATCCTTTGTTATACGATTTTGCGTATAAGATTGATTACAATGTATAGCTTTCAATATACCTAAAAATACATACATATAAATATATATATATTAAATTCATAATAAATAATATTAAAATAGTTTTTACGAACCAACAGCAGCAGTAGTGATTCGTTCATGTCCATGACCAACATGATCAGCATGAGCTTTAGTACGATCTTCAATCATAGTTTCCCTTGCTTCAGAGAGTCTTGGTAAATATTGAAGATTTCGCAGTTCATTAATCCTAGTGCTAAAATTAAGAAAATTATAATTTGTGAAATAAGTAAAAACTTTTTCAAATGTTACCGTTGCCGTTTAAGTGGCGTCTTACTGTTCAATTCTGCAGTGGGTACCAATTGTTCTCCAGCACGAATCCATAGTATAGGTCCGTCATTAGAAAGACGTGGATCAGATTGCAAAATTGAAAATGGACCCCAAGGCATGGTCTATAACAACAAAAACTTCGTTATAAGATAATGTTTATTATTAATAACCATACCTTTCTAAGAAATGGATTTGATTCAATTCGACCCAATAAATCAGGAAAGTAGCCTCCAACTTCTTCATGCACTTTACCAACTAAACTTATCTGATGTAAAGGTCCATATCGAAATGTACCTTGGGAATAATTTCTGACAACCTAGAAAATTTGTTGTATCGAAATTTTAAATTATTTTTAAATGAATTCTTATCTTAAAAATAATTTAATTTTAAAAGAACTTTCAAAAAAAATTTTAAGCTTTAACAAATTTTTTTAAGAGTTCTATTGTCTTTAAAAAACATTTAATAAAAAATGCAACTTATTAAAAATTATTATTAGTATCAATTAAAATTCAAGTTTTAAAGAAATGTTTGTATTTTTCTCATAAATATTAAAAGGGTTAGTCAGCAAATATGAAAATAATATAATTAATTCACCTGGTCATTGTATTGAGCCATTGTACACGTTTCAATATCAGAATTTCTACCCAGTACACCAGCTTTCACCGTTAATGTTGAATAATTTTCGGCAAGATGTCCTAATAAATCTGGCAAATATCTGGCCGAATCGTGCACTATACCCATAACATGATGTGCATAACCATTCTCATCTTCCGCAAAACAAACACTAAAAAATTCATTAACTAATTCATCTGTTTCCTCAGGTGTTAGATCCTGAATTTCATCTTGGTACATATGGACAACAGAAGCCCCACCATTGGGATGAACTTCAATTTGAAAAAAGCGCCCATATTTAAGATGTTCAAGTCCGTTTGTTGAACGATTAGCATCTCGACCTTTTTGGAAATTCTGCGCTATAGGCATTTGTTGCACGGATTGAGTACCAACATTGTTACGACGAATTTTCGAACGTTTATGACATCTTGAACATTCTCGTTTATGAGACGAGTGCTTTGACGATGATAAATTAGATGATCTGTGATGGCTGCTGCTTACTGAAGAAGATTTTCGGCTTGTCGAAGTTGAACTCGAAGATGAGGAATGATGGTAGTTGTTCGAAGAACTTAATGTTTTTGATCCCGTAGAGACTGTAGTTGATATATTATTCTCTTTTATAACAGAACTTGTAGATGTGATAGTTTTAGAAGGAGATGATCGCTTCTCTTTAGTACTTATACTATTACTAAAGTTTAATTGTCGTGTAACATCATTACGTGTTTTAACGTTCACTTCTAATTTTATTTCTTCTGTGTAAGAAACTGCTTTAGAGTAGTTATCAGTGATATTTGCAGTATTAATTTTATTATTGCTTTGTTTAGAACTACTACCGTTTAAAACAATTTCCTCACATTTAATTTTAGGTGTTTTTGGTAATAGAAATTCCACATTTGGATCTATTTCTTTTTTATTGTTACTTATTTCTGCACAGGAATGCTCCACCGTATTTTTATTGACAGTATAGGGATCAGTTTTTGGACAATTTTCTTGTTTTATCAACAATTTAATAGTGTCTTCTTCTTTAACTTTGGTTAATAATTGTTGACGCACATTATCATCATTAGTAGTTTTACTACTATAATTCGTACCCTGATTGTCTGTATTGCTAAGACTGCTTTCAGCATTTCGTCTTTTATATTCTGATGATGCTAATACGGTAGCAATTATCTAAAGTTAAAAAGAATTAACTGAAATTGTGAAGAATTTCTTTTTTATTTATTTATATGAAATGTTACCTTTTCTTTTATTTTATAATGAACAGAACTGTCAGAACGAGAATCCGATGAACTATGTTTCAAATTTTCACTATGATCTCTGACACTATCGTGACATTTTGACTTACGATGTCTTTTTGATTTTTCTTTACTTCTGCTTCTATAACTTGATTCTTTATCTTTAATATATTCCTTTGTAATATCGCGGTTTTTGCTTCGCTCCTTTTCACGATCTCTATTTTTATCTTTGCTCCGATGATGACTCCTGTCTTTATCCCTGTTTCTGTCTCGATCCTTTTCTTTTTTCTTCTTTTTTCGATGTTTATCTAAATATTATATAAAACAAATTATTATATTATTATACAAATTAAATTATTACTAGATTTTTTCATATTTGACTTATATGAATTCAATTTCAATTAAATAAATTTTAAAACAATACCTTTATCACTTTGGCTATTCAAAGAAACACCTATGAATTCTGCAGAAGTTGTGTGCGACATTATGGGATTGCTTTGTGGTATTACTAAAGATTGTGTTGGAATTGTTGCTTGAGTCGGTGTTGATATTGGTTTCTGAATTTCACATTCAATTGAAACGTTATTGGCTTCGCCATATGGTTTATTATTACCTTCTATGGTCGTCGCAAAGTCTCTTATCAATACTGTTTCACATTGGCCTGCACCACTTGTTATACTGGTACCAGTTAAGTCTTCAACTGTATTCATACCTATTTCTACTTTATGTACATTTTTCGATGGCAATGTTTTACACACCTCATCTTTATAACCGCACTCACTGTCTACTTCAACATTAATCAAATAAGTTCCTTCCTGTTTCGGTGATTCTGTTCTAGATGATAACGAATCCATAATTGTAGTCTACTTACTTCATTCACATGAAAATTAAAACGATTATATATACATATATATATATATATATTCAAGTGAAAATAAATCGATTAGCTCTTGGTATATTTGCGCCAAATCAGATTTTACCGATATTTTCATTTCTCTTCAAAAACACCGCCTTATTATTGAAATAAGGACCGGTAACGAGATCTTTATTTATGTACGTGCTTTCAAATAATATTTCACTGAAAACATTTATTTTTATATTTGTATTTTAAAATAGTTTATATCAAATATATTTTCGAAATTTGTTGGGTGCAGCTGCGCGTCAATCTGCACAATACGATTGTTTTTGATTTTCTTGCCGCAAACATCGAGCATCACAATTTAGCAGTTTATAACCCACAACTTTAAACTTTGTTTTAAACTACATGCCGAAATTGCAAATTTGCTTTAAATGTATTTTACTACGAGCAAAAAAAAAAACAAAAAGACGATAACACATCTTATGCGTTGTTTGAATATTTTCCTCTTTTTAACACAACACCATCTTACCACAAACGAGCAACAACGAAGATATTCCAATTTCGAATTCGACTTCCAAGCAAATCATTCTTCGAGTCACGTAGATATAGAACTAGTCGCAGTGTTGCATTTTAAACTTTCATACAATATTATATTTGTTGTGCAAAATATATATTAAATATTTTTATAAGTTAGAGCGATAAATTTGGCACAGACATCTCGCCATTTCAGTTAATACCATTGGTGTTTTTTTTCGTGCCCGTTTGGCTCTTATATTTGTATTGCTGTATACACCAGGATTAGGAACTCAACACCATAATATTTTCAGAATACTAATCAATCAATATCACTTTTGAAACATGTAATTTGAAGATTTAGAGCTATTTTTATTATGTCGTTTTACTATTTTACTTATCAGTAGTCTTATACTCGTATCAAATGGAACTATGCTTAATCAACATAAAAATGTGGCTTAAGAATAACTTGGTATCACTGTCTAAATCACCAATCATATGACAAGTAAAAAATTTTAAACAAAAATGTGGTTTTAAAGACATGCGAATACAAAAACACCTGCAGATAATTTTATAAAAAAGTTTTTTGTATAAATGTATTTAAAATGAATGACACAAAAACGTTATTAGTGGGTATATCGTATTGTATTTGAATTTATATAAATGCATATTCTTTTTTGTTTATATGCATGACAAAGGAGACAAATATTAGAATAAGGAGGATACAAAGAGAGAACACTTTATATATGTATTCATGTATTGCATTGTTTAATGAGCATGTACCACAAATTATAAATTCCTTAATATATAATCAACGAATGATTTCTACACAATTATTAACCTTTTTAGTCACCTTCACAAATTTTATTTTAAAAAATTACTAGTGCAATCCTGGTGTATACAGCAATACAAATATAAGAGCCAAACGGGCACGAAAAAAAACACCAATGGTATTAACTGAAATGGCGAGATGTCTGTGCCAAATTTATCGCTCTAACTTATAAAAATATTTAATATATTTTTTGCACAACAAATATAATATTGTATGAAAGTTTAAAATGCAACACTGCGACTAGTTCTATATCTACGTGACTCGAAGAATGATTTGCTTGGAAGTCGAATTCGAAATTGGAATATCTTCGTTGTTGCTCGTTTGTGGTAAGATGGTGTTGTGTTAAAAAGAGGAAAATATTCAAACAACGCATAAGATGTGTTATCGTCGTTTTGTTTTTTTTTTTTGCTCGTAGTAAAATACATTTAAAGCAAATTTGCAATTTCGGCATGTAGTTTAAAACAAAGTTTAAAGTTGTGGGTTATAAACTGCTAAATTGTGATGCTCGATGTTTGCGGCAAGAAAATCAAAAACAATCGTATTGTGCAGATTGACGCGCAGCTGCACCCAACAAATTTCGAAAATATATTTGATATAAACTATTTTAAAATACAAATATAAAAATAAATGTTTTCAGTGAAATATTATTTGAAAGCACGTACATAAATAAAGATCTCGTTACCGGTCCTTATTTCAATAATAAGGCGGTGTTTTTGAAGAGAAATGAAAATATCGGTAAAATCTGATTTGGCGCAAATATACCAAGAGCTAATCGATTTATTTTCACTTGAATATATATATATATATATGTATATATAATCGTTTTAATTTTCATGTGAATGAAGTAAGTAGACTACAATTATGGATTCGTTATCATCTAGAACAGAATCACCGAAACAGGAAGGAACTTATTTGATTAATGTTGAAGTAGACAGTGAGTGCGGTTATAAAGATGAGGTGTGTAAAACATTGCCATCGAAAAATGTACATAAAGTAGAAATAGGTATGAATACAGTTGAAGACTTAACTGGTACCAGTATAACAAGTGGTGCAGGCCAATGTGAAACAGTATTGATAAGAGACTTTGCGACGACCATAGAAGGTAATAATAAACCATATGGCGAAGCCAATAACGTTTCAATTGAATGTGAAATTCAGAAACCAATATCAACACCGACTCAAGCAACAATTCCAACACAATCTTTAGTAATACCACAAAGCAATCCCATAATGTCGCACACAACTTCTGCAGAATTCATAGGTGTTTCTTTGAATAGCCAAAGTGATAAAGGTATTGTTTTAAAATTTATTTAATTGAAATTGAATTCATATAAGTCAAATATGAAAAAATCTAGTAATAATTTAATTTGTATAATAATATAATAATTTGTTTTATATAATATTTAGATAAACATCGAAAAAAGAAGAAAAAAGAAAAGTATCGAGACAGAAATGCAAGCTGTGTAATTACTGAAGCATTTATAAAAGTTAACAAATCAAGATATATGAGCAAAATAATATTATGCTTTTGAATATGGTAGTAAATGGTTGAAATCATATTCATTGGAATAACGTACAGATGTTGTAATGGGAAATATGGGAAATAGCACTTTGTCACCTGAATAGACTAGTGACTTTAAAATGTAGATCGGATACTTCAGGAACATTGTACTCGTTGACTACTATCCCATGAGCAGAGACAAGGTTACTTTTTCTAAATAAAGTTAGTTTCATATTTGTATAGCAATTAATTTTCATTTTAGACGACATTTTCCACAAAATCGGTTCCAGAATACCAGAGGCGAAGCACTAAATGCTGTATTTGTGATGATAACAAACAAAGCTCCCAGCATAGCAATGAAGATTGAGATTTGCAGCTTAATTAAAAACTAAGAGGAAAAATTAATTGACACTGTTGGAAAATAATGTTTAAAATCATTCTTATTATTGCTGAAAAAACATATATATATTATTTTAACATGTGCCTCAGTAAAGTAAACAGTTAAGATTTTTGTTATAACTTTTCTGAACATTAAATTTATTTTACACAAAAATTATAAAATATAATGTGTATTATATCTTCAAAAGGATTTTATAGTTACTGTTACAGGTGGCTATAATAATATTTAGGAATACTTTGCTGTTAAATTTCTATTATAAACTAATGTAGGTAGTTGAATTTTAAAGTAAAATCTAGTAATTTGCATTATAATAAAAAATGAACACCTAATTAATGTTCGTTGTGCCTTAGTTTTAGCCACCCCTACTTTTGTTACCAACCAAAAGGACCGACAGACACTAAATTGTAGAACAGATTTATTTATAATATAAATTAATAATTAAATTTGTTAGATGTTAGTGTATTATATATTTATTAAAAAAGTTTAAAATAGTTTTTGTGAGTTCATAAACGAACACAATTTATTCTGTGCTTTAAAGAGAAGGCGGGTTTATGTATTTTAGCCTTAGTCAATTTCGCGAGCCAAGTTTAACTATTTAAATGGAATAGCAAATAAAATTAGTTTCCCTAGGACGAATAAACGTATTTCGAACATTATGAAATAATTCAATTTAGCTTTGATGCATAAATTTATTGTAATTATTAAGTTATCTTTTGCTTATCCTATCAAATAACCTGATTCTTACCGGATTACTCCGTGTACATACAGTCTTATTGTTGTTGTAACCCGCCGGGATCTGCTTGTGTGACCCCTTTGGGGGATGTTGAACGGCACTTGGTCGTCTGAATCGACGAGTGGCTCCCGGACGTAGACTTGGCTGTTCTTCGAACCGTGTACAGTTTTGTGATCCTTTCCTATACTAATGCTGAAGTTGCTGCTGTTCTTGTCCGCGGGGATCTGTTTCTGTAGCCCTTTTTGTAGGTGGTGAACAGCACTTCGTCGTCGAACTCGACAAGTGGCTCCGACTCGTAAATCCGTCCGTTCTTGGAACTGCTAGTGTTCTAGTCATTATTTTTGAGTTACAGTTTGTGAGATATAAGACTTTTTCATATACTCCAATGCATTTAATTCAGCTCAGGGAAAAAATAATAAAAAAAATATATTGCTTATCTGATCTGAAGCAGTTAACGATAAATTTTTTATATGATTTTCTAAGATGTGTTTTTTAAACAGAACTTTAAATAATTAACCGACTGTGTTTTTTTTTTGACAAAAAAGTCTACAACAAAACAAAATTAGAAGTATTAATGTAAAAATTAATGGGTTTTTGTTACAAGCAACCCATTATGTGTATTACAAGCTCTCTGAGAGCTTATTATAGATCTGATATCCTTCATCTAAACATAAATATTTTTTCTATTCTTAAAAGTATAAATACAGGCCACGATAAGTAATTGATGAAGAAAGTGAGGGAGGTACAAAATTGCTGTTATTTTTGTATATCTATGGACAAAGTGTTTCGCTTCAAAGTGCTTCAGTCCCGGTAGGTGATTTCTTAGTTCGACAATCTGAAAAAGATCGAATCTCCATGTGTAGAAAAAATTAAAAAAAAAATTATGGTAAAAAAATTTTTAATTCGAATCATACTCGAATCATTGACTGTATTTCACTTATACGCATTCTGACTAGCTTTTTCGTATACTCGACTCCACCTGCCTCATATATACAAATGACACCACTTATGATGATTTATACTTTTCTCTTATGATATTTATATACGCCGAAACTCGACACAAAAATGTTGCAAGTGATTTATGAGTATTACGTCACAGTTGGCAAAAACTTACCTGTTATTGTTTACAGTGCATATAATATCCAACTAAAACCACCCCTCATTTAATGCACATATTATATTTCATAATGCTAACAACAACAACGCATACAAGAAGCATTACACAAAAATGAAATGAATGAAAAGACATAATTTTTTTGCTTAGCAACAAACCTATCAAATCGGCAGTCATTCATTAATCAATGAGAACACTCATTGATTCGTATCACACGAGTATATCCTATGGCTCACGAGTCATCTGCTATGTATGCTACTCTATTTAGAACAGTATGCACTCTTGTTTTTTCTTTTTCATTGGTTTATTCATTGAATCTTTCTGAATATAAATTGACAATAATTTTGTGAATCAAAAAAAAACTAGCATGTATGCTATTAAGCTAGGGTATTCATATTTATCAATGATTTTCTTTAAGACGATTTAGTGCAGTTTATAAGATAATATAAGGATATGGATGCGACTTGAGTCTCTCTCGGAATATAAGTGTATATTAGCGAATAACTTCTTCTACAGTTTCGTGGATTTAGGTCTTTGTGTAGGTTTTTGTTTTTGGCATACCACGCAGCGCCAGTAACTTGTCGGAGAATTTTATTTTGTAGAGATTCTATAACATCTAAACTTTTTACCAGTCAAGTTCTTTAAGATTGTTAGACATATTTTAAGCATTCACCACCGCGGATGAAAATACTATATGGTAATGGTAAACTTTTTGTTGAATTTTTTAAAAACCCATATTGATTGATTCTCGGATATCGTAAACATGGACATGATCCCATTAATAAATTTATGAATTACTACTAAAAATATATATTTAGGGATATTGGATAATTGTATTATCATATTAAACTCGATTAACTTAAAATCATACTGAATTTTTAATAACCCGTAGTTGTAGCTGACTGAGACTCTGTAAAAATTGGGTCCCTAGTATATTTAAACCATTTTGCGCTTACACTGAGTAATAAGACAGCAAACTTTTTTTTTCTTCCTCATAGTTGTGGCAAGAGTTATTGAAGGAAAAATTCAATCTCCTAGCATGACAGTGGCTACAAATGTATTCCTAAAGATAACGATTCCTAAGGAGATATGTTATCATCTCGTTCAGCGACGCGTAGCAGCAAAAATTGTTCTATATGTAATCTCGACTGAACGAAAGGACTTGAAAGACTTTTACTCAATAGAGTACTTATTTCTTTGGCATAGCTCCTGTCATAATATTTTTTTTGACCGTTGCTTGTGAAATAAAATCAAATACCTAATAGTTAATAGCTAATATATTGTTTTATTGTTTACATTTATATTTACAAAACTAAATTGTTAATTAACACGAACTGTATTTCTCGTTATATCTCTTAATAAAGAATATAAAAAATGAATTTATGTAAAGTTACAGTCAAGTTGCTTGCCTGTGAAACGTTTGCCCCACGTTGAGAACATTGGTCTACAGAGTCTTCGATGTGTCTGTCATTGTGTTACAAACATTTTAACAAACCTAATTAATATTTATTCATAATTTTTTGCTTTAGCTCTTTGTTTTTCGCCTATTATTGTTATCGTCAAAATTTTGTCGCGGAACTCTTATATCATAGTCAAACACAATAAATATTCTCTACAGCTCACTGAATTACTTAAGTAAATGATAATATAGATTTTTTTGTATTAAAAAATTGCTTCTTTTGACTTGACGACTTATTATTTCACACAAGTGGAGTGGTGTTTTTCCTATAGTTTTTTCTTTCCCTCGATACTGTTACTTCTTTCTTTTCGCTTTAATGTTACTGCTGATCTTTTTTCGATGTAACAAATGTTTTCCTTAATTACTTTTAAATTACTTAACAATCGGGAATTTAATTACAGTAATTACAAAACCAAGCCCTATAACAATATTGCCCTAGAGTCCCTCTTTATACTTCTCGTTCGTCATTGCCGGTAACTGTGAACTTTTTAGAGTAGCTCCACTTATTTCTCGCTAATTATAGTTCCGACCACTAGTAGTAAAATTGAGTAATTATCAAATGATAAGCTCACGCTGATACTTAATACAAGAGAACTAAGTTTCAAATCTTAGTTATAAGTTTATTTCAAATGAAGTATTCGATTTAATATACATATTTGGTAAAAATTTACTGCGAAATAATGTTCTTTCTGCCGATTCTTCAATTTTCTTACAAGCAAGTTTGTTCGCAAGCTTCTTTGGTTGGAAAACGGTTATCGTTTCCATGGCAACCACCATAAAAGAACGATTGACATTCCCCAACTTCAGAGTTGTAGAAGAAATTAGGATCCGCCTTCCGACAAGGACCAACTTCCTTAGGCTGTAGACAAACTAAATGCGCAGAATATGAAAATATAAAAAGTTAGTTTTCATATGTAAATAACGCTTAACGAGTAACGAGTATGAAGCAAGCACCAATCGATGTACTGCAGGCACGATGTGTGTCACATCAGCTCGTTTGTTGTGATTTCTTACCAGTTTTGTCCGCAGCTCTTACGAAAGAAAATAATAAAACCAAAGCTATAAAGAAAGTCTGTAAATACTTCATTTTGCACAAAAATTATTCGATTTAGATGCGCAGATGCCTGAGGCTGTATGTAAGCGAATGAGTCTGAGATGCGCTGCGAAGCGTATTTATACGTTTCGAAATTCGTTATTGGTACTTAAAATATTTTATACTGCTTTTGAAGCCTCCTCACCTATCGAGAGCGTCGACTCTCGTACCTATTAACAATTGAAGTGCTCGTTATGTAGATGGGTCTAAAGTAAATATTATCATCTCTTAGTATATTAACGCTTACTCGCTGATAGTTTCCAGTTTGTGTTCAACTACACGTCGTTATGTAGTAATATTTTTTCTGTTTGCCAACACAACAACTGGGGAACTCTGATAGACAGGTATAAGATCTGACTCATCTCTCATAAAGTGACCGACTTCACCCTTCATTTGTAAACATTTATGACAGCAATTAAAACTTGATTTTGTTTAACTTAATTTTGTACTTACGTGTATTGAAAACAAAAGGTTTAAACTACAAATACAGCTAAACATGTGCTCAATTAAATCGGTTGAAGAAATCTATATACGTAGTAAGATCAATTGATGCAAATATTTACCCGAGCAATTTTTCACACATATAACCTTTTCATACTTAATATGAGAACGGCATATTAAGTTTACTGAAATGTTTGTAACGTAGTAAAAATTAAATCGCAGGTCCTGAAGACTATATATTTTCATAGTCTATTCTGACAAAAGAGTCGATGTAGCGATGTCCACATTCAGTTTGCGGAGACAGTTGTATCAATGGGATGGAAAGTACGGCTACAGATGCGCTTTACCCAGTTCGTCCAAATAAATCAATGAAGCGATGAGAACAATTTATCTGTATTCGAGTATATTGAGCTTATTGAGAGACTTGCATCCTGTAAAAGAAACATCGGAGACTGGAAAAGTATGTGCTGACTTGATCAATTCGGAAAAACAAAAGGATTTTGTCAGCATATGTATTTGGTTACATATCGTGTGATATGACGAAGACCCTTGAAATGTACATATTTATAGTCATTGAGCAGACGAATTAAACTTGTGATATATTTTTTTTCGTATTCAAGTGTAACATATGAGCTAAAAGGTCCTGAACTAATCTACAAAAACATGTTTTTTAGCAAAGTATAACTTTATACTACAACATAGTTTTCTGCTAGAATAATACAATAATTCCACCGCTTCATTATCATTCGATACTTCAATTGTAGAAAGATTTAAATTTGGCTTCAAAATAGAAGTTTGTTCCGATGATGACTTCTTTAGTGACCAAATGTAGTTCTTGTGGAATTCTTTTCTAAAAGGTCCGCGAACTGGCAGTGGTAGTTGGGAACCAAATCTGACAAACAATATAGCAATCTGTTTACCTCAATATTCGAATAAGTTTGGTTTGCAGTGATATTTTTAATGCATTGAAAGACATATCGGAGACGTGATGAGGTTGTCTTTGAGGTTGTGTGTGTGTGTGAAAAAACGAATTGATTTAGCAATATATGTTCATCTATATTCGGACACATTTCAAAAATTTTGATGGATATCAAATCCAGCGCATAATCATCAAATTTCGAAAACTTTATAAACAATATAGGAATAAATATATTTTTTTTGACCTGGTTGAGTTTAGTCCATATAATTGTGGTTATCTATCTATTTATTTTAGTAAATTCTTTGTTACCATGTGTGAAGGGTATTTAAGGGAAAAACAAAGCCAAAGCAAACAAGCCAAAGCTTGTTTAACAATTGCAACAGTGACGGAGGAGGACTATTTTAGGTGATAGTCGTATTTCCAAGACAAGCAATGTTTGCTTAAACTTGAGACTATATGATCGTGAGAGAAACGTATCAGCTTTTCTTCTCGTTCTTCTGTTGGTGGGATGCGGTGACATACAAAGACAATACTCTTTATATGCGAAGGTATATAATATTGTTTTAAAAGCAATCAATTTTATTTTATAATCAAGGAATGCATTTTTACAGTTGAACTTCAAAATTACGAAATTTCTTGTTTTTTGCTTATTTGGTATAATTGTTCGGCCTTTAAGCAATAAAAAATATTACGTAACTCTTGATGGGATTAATGAGAAATTATTGAAATTTAAAGGCATAAGGATTGAATCAAAACGAATTTTCGCAGTGTTAACTTATGAAGACGTTCAAAAACTCGAACACTAACACATGAACATCTTTTGAATTTATAAGTATATTTCATAACGTGTTATGCTTAGGAGTGTTCTTTGGGAACACACTTCGTCGCATGCTCTTCAAACATACCATATATATATGTACTCTACTGTATGTATATACCTATATTTGTGGGACAAAAATCAAGTGTAGTCTATCTGTTAGAAAATGATTGCCCGTTTGCAGAAACAAAAATTTACTCCATTTATCCAATCCATTTTCAACACCTTAAAATGAAGTCATTGGTTGGAATCTCTTGAGAATAGTTGAAATAAGGAATGAAATTGGTGGATGGTTTACATATATGTAGGTATATAATAGAAATAATACTGCTACAAGGCACTATCTTTACAAAACATACGATAGAATGGTTAATGCTTAATTTTGTAAACTAAATTTAATTACAGAATAAACTTATAATTAACATTACAATTTTTTACTATTAATAAAATAAATATAGTCATATGTAGCACCCCAGTGCAACACATATCATATGGCTACCTCATAAGTGTAACTCAGTTACAATGTATTCTGACGGAATGAACTGCAAGTTGGCAGTTTTCATGGGAATGCTTTGTTCACTGAGTTCCAATCAAATTATATACGGACTATAAACTAATTAAGAAGTTCGAATACTTCCTAAGACCACTGAAAGATGATTACTTGGCAATACTCGAAACAGCGTAGCATGGTCAGTTATATTTCAATAGATTAAATAAATTTTTTGTTCTTATCTTTTCTTTGCTCTTCCAATCCGTCTATTAATATTAATTATTTTCTGCAGAAAGCCATAACAGCAAATATGAATACATCAATTAATTTTAAGTATTTGCTTTTCTTTAGTTAAATTAAAAATATTATTCGTTTAATATCTATGTATTAGTTATTTGTTTAAACTATGAATAATAATTCTTCATCTGTCTATAAACTTAAACAAAATAACTTTGGAAACAAAATTATAATTCTGCTGTAGTTTAAATTGTTTATTCTATTAATGGACACATAGTTATGATGCTTTATTAGATTGAATTTAATATTTTGAAGTAAATAATATGTGAATAACTTTTAATTGCCAAAACGGTTGTTTATATAATTTAAAAAGTTTATTCAAGTTCATTTAATAAATTGATTTTTAGTTTAAGTTGATATATGTATTTAAATAAATCCAAATAATAATTTTGTTGTATTTTATACATGCGATTTTATTTATAGGCATTTATTATTTGCGCTATACTACAATAAATTTAATATACCGAAGTAATCAATATATCATAATAATATTGTAATAAAAAAAAATAAGTAATATATGAATGTATCGCAAATAACTTGAACATAAAGATTTACATTAAATAAATTAGTTATTAGCTTAAACTACGTATAACGCATTCCTAAATGGTTGCTAAATCGTCTAACACAGATTTGCAGTGATGGCTACACAGAAGGTTAGAACAGTGAAACTTTACTTACTCAATTCTAAGTGGAGATGGTTGCGTATGATCCTATTAATTAGAAGTTACTCTGCTTTGTACAGTATGTAGCATAGATGAAGACTGTCTTTTCAATGTCCACTCAATGTCCGCTGATTGAAGAAGTATTTTGTAAGTCCAGCGGTGTAACTTGACAATTATCTATATTGAAGAAGTATTTTGTAAGTCCAGTAGAGTAACTTGACAATTATCTATAGTTTCTTCAGTGCTAAATATTAAACGCAATCTTTTATAAAAAATCAATAGCTCGCTCTATCTTGCATTCATAGATTTTGAAATAGCTTTCGACTCAATAGACAGGAAATCTATACGCACAGCGTTAAGAAGCATAGGGACGCCTGAAAAAATAGTAAAGTTAATTCGTGTTCAATACCATGAGGCCAGTGCTCGAGTTTTACACAACAGTCATGTTAATGTCAGAGAGTTTTATATCGGTGCATTATTGTTCAAAAAACATGAACGAATTTGTTTCTGCGATCCTCCAACCTATTAAGTGATTTGCATTGGTCCGCGATCTTATCTGGTCTGAATAGCCTTGCTTTGGATAATGCATTTAAGGTATATGATCAGTTCGATTATTGTTGTTATTACATTCTGATTGGTTGCCTATTTTTAGAAAAGCTTGGCAGTTACCAACCATTAGGAATCAAAGAGTGGAAGATAAGATAATGATTAGTAAGAGTTATAATAGACTATATGAAATTGAAAAGAGTATATGTGGTTAGAAACGGAGACTACGTTTAAGCTGGAATCAAGTTCAGAACGCTTTCCACAGCTAAAGAAAGAAGCTACAATTCTATTGGAGTCTATTTATACGATATAAAGCTGTACCGAATGTTCACCTTAGGAATGAAAAGACTTATGTATAACAAGTTACTCTTTAGCAACTGGTTCTGGTTATATTTGAGTATTAGAAATTTTTTAATTATCAATTTCAACTCGTTATATTTTAATTATATATTACTTGTTGCATATCTAAGCAATAGTTATTAATGCAAGCCCCAAGCAGCCATCTGTTATTCTAAGAAATGTGAGTTGCACGCCTATTTAGAATTAAATTATATTCATTGTAACTGCAATATTACAAAAGCGATTATATCGATGTATATGACTAAATTCTTTCATCAGCAATTAAGGTCAGAAATGTTCCCTCCAACTGTTTTACTTACCGATGTAATCCTATTAAGTACACAAGATCGATAGCTTTATTTGCCGGCTAACAAGTCGATCAAATATATATCTTTAAAGCACGAGATTTACACCAATTACCTAACATTGTTGTCAGTATCTATGCTCCTAAATGTGTAGAACATTAGCATATTAATTCTGTTCTTGCTCTCACGTCCTGCTTATGTGCTGTAAATAACTTCCAAAGCAGTTCGGTAGAATACGTAATTTCATCTTTTACTTCTTTGACTTAAGTACATAAAAACTTGTTAAATCACAAAAAAGTTTTTTATTTATTTATATTTGTCATGTGTTTGTTTTTTTCTTTGTAATTAAATAACAATAGTTAAACTGGTACAAGATACATCTTATAAAAATACAAGGTTACATATTTTTAATAAAATATCACATATATTTTGCTAACATTCCACTAACATAGTAAAGGTGGGTAAAACTTGGACATGTAATATGTTATAGTCGGTAGTTTTGATAAATTTGAATGATCACAAAACTGAAAAATAAAAATTCTAAAAAACTACATGTAAGCACACTTGTACACAGGTCCCGTAATAGTCTTTTTAAGGATCGTTCAAATATTTTTAAATTGATGTAGGCAAGTTTGGTTGTGTGAATTAAACGCATATATTAGATCTATGCAAACTAACTGACCAATCAGGATTGTAATGTCCTTTGTCTTTTACTGATTCGTCTTTTAATTTCATAAGGTAAACTATAGAAAAATTATTGTTATTACTCGTTTTTCTTTTTGATAGTTTTACGATTACGAGAGCATATTTTTTGGAAAATAACAATCCAACTATATACAGAAATACTTAAAATCAGAGTAACAAATAAATATATATCCAAGCAGTAATAAGAAAAACGTGGCATATATACAGCTGAAGATTTTGTTAATTGTGCTCCTTTTGTTTTGCTAACATATTCAACCCACCAAATGGCAGTCATTAAAGCAGTTTGTGGCCGATGGTTAAATGATTGCGAAATTTGTTTTGCATTGTCCATGTAACTAAAATAGAAATAAAAAGCAAGAAAATGGTAAAAATATGTTTTTATATCAGTCAATTAAAGTAAGTCAAATGTGCTTACCTTTTTTCCAAAGCCTTTTTTAATGCTCTTATGATACTATTTTCAGTCATGTCTTCGTATTGCAGTACTACACCCATTCCACGTTGTTTCATAGCTGCAGCATTTAGAAACTGGTCACCATACATTGGTGTGGCAACTGTGGGAACACCACAATACGCTGCCTCTGAGCTGCCCATTAAGCCAGCATGTGTCATAAACACTTTCACATTTGGATGGCACAAAATATCCCTCTGTGGCCACCATTTATTAATCAACATATTGTCAGGTTTGTCTTGTAATGTGTCATTTTCCCATTTCCAAATAACTTTCTGCTTTAATCGTTTAACTGCCCTTAATATAGCATCTCTTTTCGACGCAGGTAATGTTTCTGCACGTATCATTGAACCCCAACTAATAAAAATCACACCATGTTCTGCATTGTCAAGAAAACGTTGTAGATCTGCAGAAAGTGGTTTTGATTTTTGTATATGTATACCACCCAATTCAATAACAGATGGTGGAATTGGCTTCACACCGCTTAACGAAAAATGTTGGTTTACAAAGAACAACGAAGTTTCTTTAACCAATTCCGAAACTGATGGCATATCATGCCCAAATTTGTTTTGCAATAATTTGTCGGTAGAGGGTATAGTCACATAACTGAAAGTTTTAAGAAAATTTGAAACTAAATCAATACAAAATTCATTTGAATAATATATTCATACGTATAAAGCAATTTCATTCCATGAAAAGTAATCCAATTGGCTAAACGTTCTGGAAAACTCATTTCTTCAGAAACACCCAAGAATAATGCCGGGATATGTGATGGTATAATTGGACTGCCGGTCCGTTCGTAATGCCATGGCATTAACGCGCAACTGCTTAAGGCAATGACTGGCGCTTTTAGCATATGTGCAACACCCATCATGCAGTCAGTATTGAATTGTTCTATTATTATCACATCATATGGAGTCTTTTGGCGTAGAACCTGACCTAAGGCTTCTGACTTTAATGTGAAGTTACAAGCCTCTTGACCCCATTGATTCAGCATGAAAAACTCTACGAAATGGTTGTAAAAACGTCGATTTTCAAAAAACTGAAAAAGCAACACGTTATTAAAACCTTTATATATATTGTTTATAGATACCTTAAGGTCGACACTGTTGGATAATGTATCAACGCCTGTTAATACGTAATCTGTGTAACGAACTGGTGGGCTTTTATCTGGGAAATGACTAACTACCGTCACATCATGGCCTGCTTCTGCAAGTCCTCGCATTATGGGATGAAAAAAATGAAAATGACTAACGCCGGGATGAGGAAATAAACCCAATATTCTCAATGGATAACGTGCGTCAGTATTAACCAAATAAGTTGATATCAAAAATACGATTGAAAGTAAGACCTTCATTTTCATTGAGCTCATTTTATTGCAGTTTGTAAGTAAAAAAAAATATATAATTTTCTTATGTTAACCTTCCCAACCACAACGTACTTCCGTACGCATTCGTATATTTTTAGGATTTGTTTTTCAATTCGTAGTAAAAAGTGTTATCTGTGGCAAATCTCTAATTTTGCTATTTGGTTTACATAGCATTCATTCTTTTCAACTTCGTCTAAATTGTTTTCAGTTATTATTTTGTCTAATAAAATTATTTATTTGTAACTTTAGGTTTCTCTTTCAAATCTTCGATGTACTTTCACTCAACGAATACTTCATTTTGTTGCACACGTTTCAAATAATCTTTATTGATATTAAGGAAGTATGTTTTTCTTACGACCTCAAATTACATAAACATTAGATTGCATCACATATACATGATTTGTATATTATAGAAATTTTTAAATGTAATTTATATACAGCAACATAAAACATATGCAACAAGTGTGTTATGTAGTGCACACACAGAAATTGTGATTGATGCAATCAATCACGTTTGAGTTGTTAATAGTTCATGTTTATAGTTCGTCATGCAGCTTATGACATTTTCAATTTAAAAATCCACATTTACTCCCGATCTGTCATGTTTTCCTCTAATTTTGTGACCCAATAAAAAATGTTTAGGTTAATTCAATATTTGATAAATTTCAAATTTCAGCAAAAAAATGAACATGGTTGTCTTTAAATTTTCTCATCGTTTTAAGTTATGTGACATAAATAAACAATTAATAATAAAAAATTTTAAATTTTCATATCATGTCAACGATCAAATGGTTGTCGATGTCCTCATTTGTTGTTGCTTTCAATATTAGTCCTTGTACACTTTTGCTTTTCTACGGATTGATGCAAATTCATGTCGACTTGTTCAAAGTATTACCTATTTATTAGTTAGTGCAATCTGGCGGTTATATCAGTTGCTTCAAGAGACTTTAAAAATTAAAATTGCATGTGTTTTTTGGCAAACTATGCTGCTGTTTCTAATATTGCAGTGCATAACTTTTAGAATATACAGTTTGACATAATTTATGTTCAATTTATATACTTCACATTTAAGTCAACTTTGGACTGAATTAACAATACTCCAAACAATTTTAAGCTTATTACTAACTATCCATTTCAAATGAACAATTAACATAAAACTGCATATAAAACACATGCTCTACAAAATTTAAACATTGTAGAAATTTTTTCATATGGTGATTTACAGCTTAAATAGTATAGTACAGTTCAAGACGAAGCTGTCAAAAAAAGCAGTAGCGCTTTTGATAAATATACGAACAGAATGCTATTAATACTTTAAATAGTATTTTAAAGAATAAAAGCTAATAAAACTGTTTTAATAAAAGAATAAATTTCATAAATATATACACCGAATTATTACTCAACAACATAGGCCGTGTGAGAGTTCGATCAAATTCAGGTAAAGTAAATTGAAATTTTCTAGGGTTTTCACATTGAGATATTTATTATTTAAACATCTTATAAAATTTTCAAAATGGTAACATCTAATTTACTTAATTTTTATCTAATTTACCCTACTCGAAATTCTGGTAAATACCAACATTCCCTGCCACACCGGCATATTTTACTATTGCCCTCAATTTACTATCAATTTACATTAACATACACTACGTTTACGCGAGCCTTAAAAGTTGTTTTAAGGCTCTTAAAATCGATTTTAAGATCGCGTAAACACCCTAAATTGAATTTTGCTTAAAAGCACTTTTAGCTTACTAAATGTAGTTTAACATCACTTTTAGTAAGAAATGTCACTTTTAATCTTTGCGTAAACACCTTAAAAGCAGTTTAAGGTTTGAATTGTCAGCTGTTAACAGTAAATAGGTACAAATAATTTGAATTTTATTACAAATAACACTAACCAAATAACTAAAAATATAGAGAAAAAGGAAATGAAAAGAAAAAATTGGATGAAAGAGGAGGAAGAATGTTTAATTAAAATATTTGCAGAAAAACAAATAATTAAATTGTTAGACGGCAAAAAATATAGAAAAAGCCTAATTGCATCCCAGAATCTAAATTAATTAAACTTGTTTATTTTTTATTCTCTATTTGAAAATCTTAACTTTACCGTAATGATAACTATATATTTAAAACATTTTAGTTTAGTTTAAATTAAGTTCATTATTTTCAATTATTTAAATTTGTCATTAAGCACAAATTGTTATAAATATATTATATTATATTGTTATTTATAAAAAAAATTATAAATTAATTAATTTAAAATTGGTTTTTTCTACATTATTTTTTTAATTGCTTCTATGTAGAAGTGGAAATTTTCTCGCCAAGTACGCGCATATATGATCTCGCATAAGTTGTCCGGACGACAAATTTTGTCGATTGTACATATGTTCAGGTTGGGAATATTCAACCCTTCAACGAAAGTATTTTCTGCTGGTGCCATTTTATCCTTAAGTAAATCTACAAGCCTGAAAAATATTTGTCGATTCACTCTAAAATCAACAATCCATTGTTCATCGTCATAGAACTACAGAACTTCAACATCCCACCATTCCGAACTTCTCTTCCTTTTGCTAAAAGTTCTTATTCGTGGTGGAAGCTAAAAACAAAAATGCATTCTAAATATTTTATGAAAAACTTTATAAAAACATTTACATTCATTAAAGCCTCATTAGCGGAACTTATTGCCATTTTATTAAAGAGCTGCAATCGCATTTCTCGTAATTTTGTAAATTTTTTACGAGATGTTTTAAAAATCTGCATTGTTGCTTCATTTTTATTTTCTACAATTTTGGTTATATTTCTTTTTTGCAATAAAAGTAAAACAATTTGTAGTTTTACTCTATTCATTTTAAAAATGTTTAAAATCAACATTTCTGTTTACTGTTAAACAGCTGATTGATTGACAGCTACCTTAAAAGTGCTTTTAATTTTTGTGCGTAAACGCTCTAAGAACAAATTTTAAAATCAGTTTTAAAAGTGATTTTAAGACTCGCGTAAACGTAGTGATAGACAGATTGCAACAGTGATGCCAATCTCACGCGTAGCCAATATAGGTCAGCATGCATTTTGTGTCATACTTGGGTGCATACATGTAGCATCGTCTATATCATGTTTAACTCTCTAGATTAATTTTTAACACTAGACATTTTACCAGATTAACAAAATTATCTTGAAACTAACAGCTGTTTTATGTTATTTGACTATTAAGTGTTTTTAAAATAGTGTACTTAATATGAAAAATTAAATTAAAATAATAACAAAAGCAAAAATGAGGAAAATAATAATAAAAACAGCATTAACTTATCAGCATATGTGCAACTGTCAAATAATATTCGGATTATCCTAAACATGTTTAATTCGGCCACAATATTTAAATAAAAAATGACAGGTTAAATGCAAATCTACATAAGTCTAAACTGAATTTCAAAAATAATATGTAAACGAAAAATATATATGCAAAAGCATTTACAATTAACATTAGGCCTTTTCGGTGGCTCGCAAGTACGGCAAAAAATGCATGTTGGCCTATGTTGGCCACGCGAGTCATTGGCATCACTGTTGCAATCTGTCAAATGTTTTGTTTTGACAAACAGCAAATTTTGTATATGTGCATATAAATCAAATATATTTTTATAAAAATATTATAAAATTAAAATGAACACGGTATTAAAAGGAATGGTAAGAATATTGGAAATTTAAAAATAAAACACTAAGATAAGTAAATTTTTGTAGGTACTGTCGATGTTGGGAGAAGAAAGCAACGTTTTGCAGCGGCCGAGGGATGCAAGTTGTTTCACGGATTTTTTAAATGTTATGAATGCACTCTAGAAAACACTTCGTTTCCTTTGTGGTCCATAGTTTGCGTGTATTTCTATAAAAAAATTTTTTAGAAAAACTTCAAAAATTATGTTTGTTTATTAATTTTACGTATGTAAACTACAAATTAAATGAAATAAAATAAATGTTACTTGGTAATAACTAACATAATAAAAAATTCAATGTGCTTAATACTTACGATTTCTCCATTCTTATTATTTCTTCGTTACTTTTCAAGATTTTTCAAATTTTTGAATTCTGTTTGAATTTTTATGTCCTCAATTTTTGACATTTGATTGCACTATTCGTTGGAATTTTCAATGAAGGTTCACAATAGTTCGCTTATTGCGTTGGTAACATTTTTTTTTTTACTGGCCGATGTGGTTAGCCAGCATAACTATGCTGGCCGAGGTAGAGAAAATAGTGTTGTTGGTTTGCATACATTGCGGCCAGTATAGGCCTGCATAGGCCAACAACTTGCTGTTTTTTGCCGTACTTGCGAGCCACCGAATACGCCTATTATATGAGATCATTAACAAAATTTTGAACTGATTTTAGTTGGTATATTTTTCACAGAAATAAAAATTTTATCAAATAATAAAGTGACATCTGCATTTTATGTTCTATAAACAATATTTTATATTAGTTTTTTATGGAAAATCAGTTTTTTTTGTTTGTATAATATTAAAATTGCAATCATTTAATAATTTTATATATATAACGTTCAGATAATATCGTTTCGAATGTCATATTTACGTATGGCAGGCTGGCATCTTTTATCGAAAAAAATGCAACCCTGGCTGTCATCCAAAAATTAATATCGGCATATTGTGGTATGATGTGGCATGAAGCTAGTGTTCCATTACTTGTTTTTTTTATTAATTTAACGTAAAGAAAAGAAGTGAAGTAATTTTTGTTTTTTTGTTTAGAGATGCAAGATGCCGAACATGTATAAATATATTTATCTAATAATTGTAATAGCTATAGCAATAAGATACAATTATGCTTTGTCAGACGAAAGGCTTTGTGCTGACCCAGACTGTAAAAGTAAGTGTATTGATACATATGTGACAGTTCATTCTTACCATGAACCAATATTTTAGCCATAATTTCACGGGGTAAAGCTAAACTGAAGTACATGGCAGGGGCCAAAGGAATGGTTTCATTTAACATACATTCAGATATTCGCGTAATGTCAAAGAGCGCAGGATCTGATAAATCTTTATGGGGAATAGAAGTGAATGGTCGACAAGGGTATGCGCCCAAAAATTATATATTGGAGAGTACTGTTTATGTCGCAGATCAGGATTTGAAGTATGTAGTGCCAGTAACTAAATCTGATGATGTGAATTTAAAAATATCAGAAAATGTTGATACAAAACAGTATATTGATTCCACTACAACAGCTCCCCTAGAGCAGCAAGTATCTAGCAAATCAGATGATGTTGCAAATACAGTAATTAATTTCAATGCGGATAGCAAACCACAAGTAGCAACACCTGTACAAGCAAATTCTGTGCAAAATCCAAATGAGCAATTAGTCGAAAAATTTGATCCAATCAGAACAGAAGACCAAACAATTAGTAAAGAGCAAAAAAATGTTTTGGACAATGTTAAAGAAGATGGCGTAATTGTGAATAGCGCTGAAGAACAAAAAATTATTGTAGAGAATGCAAACAAAGATCATAGCCTTAAAGATGTTAATCCTGTGCAATTAAATTCTAACACTATCGTAAACAGTACAATTTCTGAGGAGAACCAACAATCAATCGAAGAACCAAAGGCTGAATTAAAAATAAATGAAACATCTGTGCCTAATTTAACAAACAATAATGTAAATGTATCTTTTAATACCAACACAAATAGTCTGAATTTTACTGATAGTGGCAAAGAAACTTCAATATTAAATAATACAGAAACAATTGATCACCTTCACAATATTCAAACGAAAGAAAATGAAATTTTTGATAATTTAAAAGAAACAATTAATGCAGTAGATGCTGCAAAAGTAGTAATCGATAATAGTTTGGAAGAAAATATCTTGGTGAAAGCAGAAAATATCAACTCAGTTGAGAATAAACCAGACAGATTAAATGAAGATACCAGTTTGACACATGAAGGCATTATTAATTTACCGAATGAACTTGTTAAAGATGAACTTTTAAGCAACGTAGCAGAAGCACCGATAGAAACAAATGGCGTGCTTCAGAATGTAAATCATTCAGAAAACATTACGGTTGAACAGACTTCAAAAAATAACTTAAATATAGACAAGTTGGGTATTATTAATTCTAATATAAATATTAGCATTGCAACCGAAACTAGTTTAAATAATGATCCACTAACCAAAGAAGCGAGTCTTTCGAACGATACATTAAGTAGCGAAAATATTGAGAAAGTTTTTGAACATATTACCGAAAACATATTAAATGTTGAAGCTGAAAGCACCGATAACTTAATTCATTCCGATTCAAAAACCATTCTTTCCGATGCAACTAGTAATAGTGTAGAACAGCCCAGTACCGGCGAAAACTTAAATAATGTCACTGATAAGAATACAGTACTCAGTGCGCCTAATATAACAGAAAATACTCTTAGTGAAAATAAAAATGAAAATAGTGAAATAGGTGTAGATTCTAACGAACAAGGCAATTTTGAAGTTAAATATGAAATTAATAAGGAAGTTGTTCAAAGTATAACAACGCAAAATGCAATTAATGAAATTTATGGCGATGCACCTAATACTACACCAACATTGGAAGATTTTTATGAAGCCAATACAAAAACAGTAGATTTTAATACTGAAGTTCCTAGCTTGTCTCCAGAAGTGTTAAATAAGTATGAAGAATCAACTACAGAAATTCCTGCGCATCAAAATATTGATCAAAATGTGCACGAATACATGAATGCAAATAACCAATATAGCTCAGAAGTTATAAATACGAGCGAAGAAAAATTAGTTCAGTCTTCCAGTGAAACATTTGAGAAACAGACAGACCACAATTTAGATCATGCACCTCATCCCAAAGAATATCAAGTTGTTTCGCCACCAAATGAAATTGAAGAACTGATTCCTGAATCGGTAGAAACAGTTGACAGCACTCCGATTGAAGTTTCTACAAACCTAAATAGTAACGAGAATAACTTACTTAAAAATGATTTATCAAATGAAAGACAAATTTACTCTTCGGACCCAATTTCATCAACTTCAAATCCAAAGCATGATTCAAATTCATTCAATTCAAAAAATCTGGATGATGTGGAATATATTCGTGAGAAAGGACTTTTTGCAACTATACTCAGTACTGTGAATGGTTTAATTTCAAATAATAAACGAGACAAAAAGTTAGCATACAAAAATAGGGAAAGTGAGGAATCACGTCGAAATGTATGGTCGGAAAAGAAATATCATGGTAAATTTTTCAGTTAGCATTTTATTATACAAATATATAATAATTGCTTCAAACAAATTATTTTAATTACAGACAATAGTCCACACGCAGGAGAACAATACCATTTTGCTGCAGAGGGCGGTTGTGATATTTTCAAAACACAGTCAGATAATATTTTTGATATGTTTATTATAAAGTTATTAGAGGCAAGTCAAATGTTGGTATGTCTTGCAATAACAGCTGCTTCCACTCTTCTGTTTCTATTTGGTTATTACTGTTTTTGCAACAGCAGTCAAGAAGGTGCTTTGCTATCTAAACTGAATCTATTAGAGCGAAGTTTATTAGCCTTTAATACGGAGAATGACATTTTAAAAGATGACCTCAAGATTACACGAAACAAATTGCTTAGTATACAAGATAATTCATTTGGAGCCAATGATATGGTGATATCATTAAAAACTGAATTAGATGATCTGCGGATTGAAAAGAGTAATCTGTATGATCAGGTTGCACGACTAGAAGAGGTGAGAAATAATATTTTCTGATTCTAATATGTATACTATTTCAAATTTGACATATTAATAATTTTCTATATAAATATGTTATAAACCTTGGGTGTATATGTGTAAAATGTAACTTTTTGGTTGTAGAATTGAGTAGAATATGGTTTTCAAAAAGGATTAAAAATTTAAAATAAAGAAACATTGTTACCTTGATGCAAAGCGGTCACGAAGCTATTGTGTTCTTATATGTGTGTGCAACATGTGATTCAGGTTACGTGTAAAAAATCCAATTAAAAATGAAACATTGGTGATGCCAAATATATAAGCTTATACGTATATACGCTTTCCGATTTTATCTAACCGTCAATCAGAGTTTAAGCTGTGAATTAACAAATTCTACACAAAATTCTGCGTCGTAGAATTGGATGACTCGATCGCTATTAACATTTGACAGTGTACCTATAACCAACTTAGCTCACATTTTATGTTTACAGGATAAAGTCTCTGTATATATAATAGTATTTCTCTTGACCTCAATTCTATTGCTTATAAAAATATCCTACGTTTCCCATGTACTGGTCGGTTTTAAACCGACAGGTTTTTTGTGGAAGTATGGTTTTACTGATTCGCTTCACTCCTTTTAAACGTAAACTCCCACAATACTTTGTGTTCAATTGATTTGTACTTCCGTCTAATACAGTGATATAGAAATTCAATAATATTCTTCTTAACTTGTTTTTTTTTGTTTGATGAAAATAGGAATTGGAACGTGCAACAGAAGACGGCTTAGAATTAAATAAAATCGTATCGGAGTTATTGAGTAATCAGACTGGTGATGAGTCCATAATAAGCAGTGTGGAGGAATTGCAGAAACAACTTAATGAACAACAAGGTATGTGCTTATTTTGTTCTAAAATTTATATATATGTCTATATCCGCTGCTTATTAAATATTTTCACAGATACTATTTGTGAAATAAATAAGAAACTTGGAGAGAAAAGCCGTGAAAATAGTGAACTGCAGTTAATGATTGTAGAGCAGAACACACGTTTCAGTTCTCAACTGGGGACATTACAAGAGGACAATGATGAATTAGAGGCAGAAAAAACGAGTCTGCAAACTCGCGTTGAAAGCTTAAAAAAAGAGTTTGAAGAGGACATCACCAAAGCGTTGGAAGGAAAAAATCTTGAAATTAAACGTATGCAAAGTGAAATATCTGAGTGGGCAATTAAACACGAGGAATCCAATATGAAGCTACAGACAAGTTTGGCAAAAATTGAGGTTGGTTACATTAATGAGTTATAATTTTATACATATTATAATAAACCTAAAAAATCAATTAAGGCTCTGGAAGAGTGCCTAAAATCCTTTAAAAAGAATCCCGGTACGAACATGAGTGAAGTTATGGATTTTGTCAACATTAGAGCAGAACTTTTAAGCATTCAAAAGCAGAATACAAAACTTACAGAACGCTTTGAATCTGAAAGGGTATTTACGAAATTTATTTCTTTTTAATACTTTTATTTTAAATTTAAATAAAAAATTTAGGATAATAAACAGCTTTTAGAAACTCAGTATAAAATTGCACTTGAAGATCTTGAAAGACTGAAGCAAAACTTTCACCAATCAGAAAAAGACAAACTGGAAGCTCAGACACGTCTTGAAGTGTTGTCAAATTACTTTAGAGATAAAGAAACGCAATTGCAAAAGTAAAAAAGAATGCACTTTTATAAATGAATACTTTATTAAAAATATATAAATTTTTTTCGTTAAGGGAGTTGAGTTTGAAGGAAGCAGTATGGCTTAAGCAACAAGGTGAAACCACGAGTACTGTAGACAGATTAACTACAATGCAGGAGGAAATTCAGTCTTTAAGGTAAATAAATAAATAAAATATTTCGTTTCTTATTATGTCAGATTGAAAGATAACGCGAAAAAATTTTTAATTAGGTCTCAAAATGATTCACTACGTGCAGAAATTGAGGCTCAAATGGCTGCATACAAAGCTCAAACTGGCACTTTGGAAAATCGCGCTCATGAGACTTGGTTGGCCGCTCGACAATCAGAAAGAAAATATGAAGAGGCACGTGCTGAAGCAGTTGCTTTAAGACGAAAGCTTACAGCAATTGCTACAAGTAATGTTAATGAATCAATTTGTAAGTATATATTTATAGTATGAATAAGATTATTCTGTCTATTATTTATTAATAAAAATAATATATATTACAGCAGGTGGTAATCTACCAAATGACTTAAATAATGCTCCTTCTCCAATCCATTTGGAAGCTCCAAGTTCTCCTTTACTTGGTCGATTGCCACCACCACCATTCCTTCCACCACCATTTCTTGGTCCACCACCACCATTTATGAGTATGCCACCACCCTTTGTTCAACCTGGTGAAATGCGCCCAGCGCCATTAGGACGGTTAATGTCTCCTCCACCACCACCATCAGGAAGTCCTCAACATCAACAACACCATGGCCAAATACGTTTCGGTCGTTATACTCCGGAACATTTAATGTATGATAATTACTATGATAACGAAGATGATACAGAAATAATGCATAGAAGGCGGCGTCGAAGTTGGCATCGTGATTCATATTCACCTGTTCGTACATATCGATCGAATTCACCAAATGATAGTCGTTATAATTATACCACCGATCGCGATCTTCTATCTAGTTACGACACAGAGACTGATTTTAGTCCACCACCAAGTCCGAGAGATCGCCGTTCTCGAGGCTCACCTACAGGGAGCTATAAAGCGTACTCACCACAGCAAAACGTATCGACGGAACTCCACAGTGATAGAAAACCACATAAAAGTACTGCATCCTAAGATTTTTTTATTAATTTAGTTATGTATTAAATATCTAAATTGTTCTAATTTTTAAGGTACCATGAGTTCAAGTTCGGAAAAATCATTCAATTCTTCACATAACGAAAGAAAATGCAAATCAATGGTTTAACCGGATTGTGTTCCTTGATAATTTTAAATTATTGCAAAAGTCAACAACAGCTTTACGTTTTAGTTAATTAATGTAGTTTAATTAAGTTATGAAAATAAAACGCAACTCAAACCATAATCAGGATTCTGTTTCTCCTTTTAATGTATATCTTTTCGATCATTACAGCTGATATCTTCCATGCACCGTATATACCTCTTTAGCTTCCTTTCTACAAAAATGCGTAATCTTGACTTAAGAGATGAGCGCCACTTGATCGGTCGCATTTCATGGACAGCTACATATTCGGACGTGATTTCGACTATTTTTGTAAAGTTATGCAATTGATTTTTGACTACGTAAGGCTGAGGTAGTAAGGAGAGGCTAAACTAAAGTTTCTTAAATTTTTCGCTCAATTTTCTATTCTCATCACCTAATATTATTTTAATTCATATCTATACTATTTCTATCTATTGCTACTCACTAACATAGTGGTTTATGACAGGCGTCATTTTAGTACCTTTTGGTAACAATAACTACAACAGGTTCCGTGATCGTCCGGGTCTACATCCCGGGTCTACATACATTCAATATATTATATATTTATGTATTTTTCTGCTTCAATGATTGTAATCGGAGATGAAGCAACTTCGATGTCTAACAGATCGTTTTTACACTGGTCTGACAAATGTAAGAAGGACAGACTTGTAGGATTTTCTAAACTTTGGAAAACCAATTAGTTTATCAAGGAAAGCACACTCAGTCATAAGGGAAAAATGATAAGTTTAGCTTGCCTGCCCTGGGAAATTTAAGGATAATTGATATCTCGAGTAAAAGTGTTGATATTTATAATACACGCTCCCTCTTAACCTTTTGTGATTATATGATAAACATCGAGTTCATCGTTAGATTAGGTTCGGATTCAGACTGTTCAGAAGTATGAATATAACAGTTTTAGGTCCGGAAATAATATCGATATTTTCATCAAAGGTATTGATCAGAGGCAATTCATGTAGTTTACTGGGACATTTAGGAAGGTGAAATCTTCTTGTTGTTATAGTTTGGGTGATATTCCCTTTTTTGAGGAAATTTGCTTGATTTACTGTACTCAATAATGCTGACATATGAATGGAAAAATGAGCAACATTTTGTCATATATGACGCGTGGATCTGAGAAGGAGCCTTAGCATTTTTTAGTTAGATAAGTCACCAAGAGGTATACAAAGAACACTAATAGAGCAGATGTGATGCATATTTTTCAAACTCTTCAAAACTGCGACATTGATTATTGAAATGTAAGTCTAATCTTGTTCCGCTATATTCTTATTTGAAAATGAATAACTAGACTTTATATCCAACTTGCAATTGTGACGTTGATTTTTGAAGTGGAAGTCGATTTTTTCTTCTTGTCTCATTGTAGGCACTATGGTTCCTATTTCAAGTCTCAATTTATTGCGTTATACGTTTTGATTTCACGCTTAGTTTTTCGATTTTAGGTTTCAAGTATAGAAAACTTTAACTCAATTTGTTTGAAGAAATGTGAAAACACCACAAATATTATTAATTTACAATATTTTTTATTATATTTTATATAATATTTTGATTACTAGTTTATTTTTATTTAATAAAAATATGCGAATTGTCGCATATGTTTTATCGAGACCAGTCAATTAATTGCCACTTTAAATATTATTTGAATAAAGTTATACAATAACATTTAGTTAATAATTGTCTGGAATCCATGCTCAGGCTGAAAATGGGTTCTTATTGCTTAAAGCTATGTAGATAGAAGTCCATATACCTGGCAACTCAGTCAACATTACACGCATATCGCTCTAACTTTGGATTAAATCGGGTGTGTATTAACATCTAAACAATATTGACCAAAGAAATATGAATTTTAAACGATTTTTTATAAATCTTCCTTGTGCTTTCCTTGTGTAATTTTTTTAGCAATTTTTTTTAAAAAAATCCCGCTTTTCTCGCTATTCCGTCGACTGGAGTTTTATTTTTAGTTATTTATTAAGATCCAATTTTCTGCCACTGAAGTTTATAAGATATCCTCCCAGTAAACCTCCTATCTGCTTCGTATATGAATATATATTAATTTTCTAGGAATTAGTATGGATATTATTCCCTAGGAATTAGTATATATTGCTTTAAAAAATATTTATTATTGATCTCCCACATATAACAATTTTTCATGGATATTATATACGTATTAATCAGCCTTAAATTATGCTATATTATAAATACCTAATCTACGTCACACCTACGAGTAGTTTAATCGGCTCGGCTATACAAGAGAGATCAATACTTAAAATGCTTTGTTGAAGACATTATCATAAGACAATTGTACCGTCATTATTAAAATTATTATTATATATACCAGTATACATAAAACTCAATATGCCAAAGTAAAGGGTAATATGAGTCCTTGACCTTGACTGCTAGGACAGTCAGACGGACATGAGGTTGTATTATAGGTGAAGTTTCACATTAGTTATGGTTATTAAAACGAAAGTGCTTTCATCTACTTTCAAATGTGGTATTCGTTTATGTACTAATAAATGGAATAAGGATGATTTTTCTTTTTGTTTTCTCTTAATGTATTTGTGCTTTGACTCTACTTAGGTCTGAGTGGTTAAATATCGCGAAAAAACAATAATTTATATAGTTTCCTTTCTATAAATAGATGTGAGTTATGCAGTGTAGAGTATTACATAAAACAAGGTAGACACTGATACCAGCCATTCATGTCGTCAGACAAATAATTTTTCCTTTCTCCATAATACAACCTAGTTTATATAACAGAAAAAAATCCTTCAAGATGTTAATTTGTAATTCTTTGTAAATAGGTGACACCTCTTGCTACAGATTTGATACATCTATTGAGTACATTAAGTATTGGGTCTATGTTTGCTTTTATTTCTAGCTAAGGAACATTTTCATTAAAAAACATATTGTTCAATACCTCATTCAATACCCACCCACTAACATGGTAATAGAAATGTACCCTATGGAGTTGGTGAAGACTGTTATAAACAATTGCTATACATGATAAAAGTTATGAGATTATGCTATATGTATGTATGTATATATCTAAGTATATACAACAGGGTTTGTACATATGTGTATACAAGTATATTTATTTATGCTAAATATATGATTGATACAAGTGGTTGCCACCAAATGTTACTCATAGAATTCTAGATCCTTAGGGATATCTGTTAGAGATGTAGTTAGGAGAGCAGTAATCCTGTTGTGCTCTCCCAGCACGTTGGTTCATTAATAATAATTGTAAATATGTGTAAATAAGTACATTTATTTCTATTAAATTTATAGAATTCAATATATAAATCTAAAATTTATATATCTAAATAAATTGATAAAATTGATTGCTACCGAATGCCGCTGTTGTAGGCGACAAGGATAAAGCACACACTATATGAAGAGTTGTAGAATTGTCTTTGCTCAAGTAATAAGGTATTTGCTGCAATTATCAGGTTTAGTTAAACATACCTTATTGGTATGTTTAAGAGATAATTCACTTGCATTGCATTAATTATTATCCATTATAGATAAATGGATCTATTGGATCTTCGTTATAACTTTAACCTAAACAAGTATACGAATTTAAACAATTAATTGATAACAAACCGGTTACTCGGTTGTGGCGGCTAATCTAGCTTAGCAAATTTGTCAGTTATTTTATTATCGGTAAAGCTAATAGGTATTAAATTAACGTAGTACGTAGAGTCTCTCTTCAATTTCTGGTAAGTCATATTGCAATTTCCATTTAAGTATGTTACTGTAATAAAAAATGTTTTGGACCGTGAGAGAATATTCATGAGAATATATTCTTATGTATACAGTGTAGAGTTTCATAATTTGTACTAAGGTTCCAGATATTATATTTTTGGAAAATGTCGATTGTTCAAGTTGTGAGTTTTTTTTAATATAAATTATGAAAGATCTTAATATTGTATAGACCATTGTTGAAAAGATTGTGGACTTTGCTAGGAAGTGCTTTTATACACAATACCAGAACAAAAAATCTTTTCAAGATTGTTACTGTGGCATAAACCGAACTGACAGCAATACGTATGTGTACTTCAAGTATAGCATACCGGATCTGGGTTCAAATCTTACGATAGTTTGGTCTAAAAACGTGCTTTAAAACATTTTTGAAAAAATGATTGATAGGTCTGTTTTGAAAATAGAGCTTCAATCAATCCTTAAACTCACGAAATCGATGTAGAGTGCTACTCTGTCTACTATCGTTAGTGACAAGTTGGCTTTGTTTAACATTACCTTATAAATATATACATATGACACAAACAGAGAAAATTTTATTTCTTATAAGATTTCTTATCAGACATTTTAATCTGATGCGTATTCTTAAGAGTGAATATTATATTTAATGAAAACTGCAGAAGCTTTGGCAAGTATAAAGAGAAAGAAGATGTCAAACACTACGCGGTTCAGCACATAATAAAAAGATTGTCTTTATTAAGCTTCTATCAAACTAAAAATAATGCACCTATTTTTTGTATATAAATAGTATAATGACCCTTTCGTGAATCTACAACAGTACCAATTTAGTCATTCTCACCACAATTGTCAGAATGTTATTGGTTTTTAAAGTAAATGCAACTCCATGATTACCAGCTTGGAAGATACTCGGCCATTGCTTCCGAAATTCCATAAACACTAACACCAGTGCCTCCATCTATTTCTGATCTATCTGAGTATCACGTTGAACGTAATGGTAGGTGTACCTCAAATTTTCTACCAAAGCGATGAAGTTTTGTTATATAGTCTCCATCGAACTGAGCTATTTTTTGTGCTACAAATGTTTTTAATATTGTTTCATGAATGATTCCATGATTGAATATGTTTGTACAGAGGTGTCAACCCAAGTATAGCCTCAAGTGCTACAGTTGCATTAGACCACATAGTACAAATTATTAAGAGCACGCAAGTCTTTAAAGTTTCGTGCAAACAATAAAAGATCCAGTAACTTTTTACCACCAGACTTGGCAACCATATGTCATAATAGGACGTATTACTGCTTGATATATCCAAAGTATCATCTTCGGGTTGAGGCCCGAAGTTTTACCTATCAAAAGCCATACTTAATTACCTGACTTCCTAACTCTTATAAGTCTTTCTTAAAGTGATAAGTAAATTAAATCTCACTGGAATTGGAATCATGTGACATTATAACAGGTTCACAAAACTTGAATGAAGCTGTTTCCAATAAAGGAAATGCACAGCCATACTTATGTTTCCATTTAACTAGCTAATTAAACGATCCTGAAATATTGACTCGTAGACTCAGACATATGATAGATAAGAGAGATTGGTACAGATGCAGGAATTATGTGTCCATCAGGTATATTTTTTATATGCTATCTATGTATATGTACATATACAGTATATGCAATATGTATATACTAACAATTATAAGTTGAATCAAGTCATAAAAAGTGATTTTATAATCTTACTTACGAAAAAACACTGATCTAGCAAGGACTGAGTAAAAGAATACTTAAAGAAACAGAGACACATAAAATGCTTATACATAAAATTCCAAACACGTGACAAAAAATTCAAAAACGTGACAAGTTAGAGTCGAAAGAGCCAAAGTGTTGTTTTGTTTCGCTAAAAGTGGTGGGTTGCCAAACTTGATTTCTTCTGACAAATAAAATGATCGAGTTTACTTGTCAGAGAGGACAGCTGAAAATTTGAACATACGAATGGCCACCAGAAAGCTGGCGCCACCGATGATAATGGTGTGGGCCGCCGTACCGACCGAAGGCCGCTTTTCGCTCGTGTTTATCGATCGTGGGCTAAAAATAAATGCACAAATCTATCGGAAAATTATTTTAGAGAGAGCACTAAAGCCCTGTGCAGATGAGCATTTTGGACGCAGGCGTTAGATATTTTAACAGGACTCAGCACAATCACACAAAGTACGACCAAGAATGACTGAAAAACACCGTTCCGTGCTTCATTCCATCAACACAATGGTCACCGTGTTCACCTGATATGAACTCTGTAGATTTCGCGGTCTGGGGTATTTTAAAAAGTAAGGTTGGTACTTAAAAACATCAAAGTGTCGATCGTCTGAAGCAGGCGTTTAGCCGAGAATGGGCCAAAATACCGCAAAACCATTTGCTGGCAGGGTGCGATACCTTCATTTGTCGTTTGAAGACCATAATTCATGCTAGAGGTGGCCAAATCGAACCAAAATAAATTAAATTAAAAACTTAAAGTTCTTTTCGCAATTTATTTTTATCTACCATTTAATTTAACAAAAATGAACTGAATAGAGAGTTTTACTTTGTTGCAATTTCAGTCAGCCACCCTGTATAACACAATATGCAATTATGCGAACATAAAAATAAAAATGAAATAGATTTTATTAAAGTTTAAACTAATATTTATTCATTTATATACATAAAATACACTTAAATAAGTTTTAACGGCTTGAACTTTATGGAGCTTCCTTTTCATTGGTACTTATGACCTTATTTATACTATCTTGTTGCTCCTGAGTTGGAGATATTTTGTTTGCCTTATAGGAAAAATTGCTTTGATTGCTACTGTCTTCATGCTGCGTTACACGAAGGCCACTTATTGATGAGTCAGCATCTGATTGCGCCGAAGGCGAACTTCTGGTTGGGGACTTAGTTTCTGCAATTGAGGATAAATGCGGTGGCAGAGTTTGCGAGGTGGAAAGTGGTAGTTGAGTCACTTTTCCCATGAATGATCGTATTTCTTCAAAATATGATTCTTCATTTGGATTTTCGCACATTCGGCGTATGTCGAGCATTCTTTCATTGATTCCCAGACTTAGTGAGGCCGCATCAGTCTCATGCTTTTTAAGGTGCCGATCTAGATTGGTTTGCTGTCCAAAACATCGGTCGCATATTTTGCATTTGAATGGGCGCTCTTTGTTATGAATGTTGCGAACATGACGTTGAAGATTGGAGGATATACTAAAGGAACGTTCACAATATTTGCATTTGTAGGGTTGCTCTCCCGTATGGGTGCGTAGGTGACGAGTTAAATTAGCAGAACGTGGAAATACTTTGCCACAGAATTTGCAAGTATATCGATCCTTACTTTTGTACGGTACTGCCTGAGCTATTGTTGATCGATTACAATTTGTTGTAGATTTTTCTTGCTTTAATGTGTTATTGTTGCTGTTTGCGACAATATTGACTTTTACATCACTACTATTAGTTCGACTATTACTTTTCGCATCACGGAAATAATGTATGGAGTTTGGACTGCTGTAAGGAATTGTTAAATTGATCCCATCTGATTTTGTATTGGATGATATTGAATGCTTTTTTGATTCATGCTGTAGTTCCAGCGAGTCTGGGTTATTAACTTGCGAACAGTTTGGAATGATATTGTTTTTTATGGTTTGTAAAAAAGGAAAGCTGTTGTTTGTTCCAGACCTGGGCAATACAAAGGGATTCGAATATGATAAAGGCATTGCTTTTGCCATGACTTCTAATATAGTTGGTTGCAGAGCATTAACAGGAAAGCACACTTTTTTTGGATGCATTATTCTTTCCAAATTCAGATGGTTAGCGCTGGTAAGTTTCTCATTTGAGCTGGCAACATCAATTTGCGAAAGACTCGTTGTATTAGTATTTGTTGGACAAGTCTCGTTTTCAATGCCGGGATTACAAAGTATTTGTATATTATTATTGTTTAATTCTTCCCTTTCATTGCTAAAATTTCGCTTGTTAGCACACCCTTTAAGTGATTTAGTAATGCAACATTCTTGTGATTGTGTAAATTCGGAACATAAAATTAAATTGCTATTCTCATCTTCGACCATTGATTCACCATTTCTTGGCAGTTCAGTTTTCTTATGGGCTATACGTAAATCAAGTGGCTGGTCGTATCCAATGCAACGCCTTCTTATTTTGGAATCCTTGCGGCTAGAATAAGGCGATAATGAGTTTGTTGACGTTCGAGGTGTTGTTGATAGATCGAACGGTACTTGCGTTGAAAATGCAGATGGTATTGTTGTTAGTATCGGGTACACAGACCCTTGTTTTGGGCTAGGCAGCATTTTTCTTGGGGAATGATCCTTTTCTCTCATTACTGTTTACTTCATTAATAGATCATCAAGTTTTTCAAGAAGAGAAATAAAACAGCACCATTCAGGTAATTTTCTAAAAAATTTTAACCACCTCTGACTTTATACCTTAAAATAGAAGAAAAAAAAATTTATTAATATATCAAAACTATATAGATATATTTTTATTAACATTAAAAATCTACTTATGTATTTAAATCTAAATATATTCAGAGATGTTTGAAAAAATTTGGTTGTTGCAGGAATCAGATATAGAAAAGGGTTCGAGTCTATTCAAATGAGGATTTATTTATTTCTTGGTAAGAAGAAGGCCGAAGAAGGCCAATTTGCTGAGATTATTGCCTCTCTGGCTGGCTATTGTTTTAAGTGAAACTTTTTATGTTAAACTCTTTGGAGATATTTTATTGTAGTTCACACTTCCATCGGTTGCGTCGGTTGCGTCGGTTGCAACGTCATTATAATAGTAATGGTAAAAATAACAGTAAAAAAATTACAATAGAGCCTTGATCAAAACAATGAAACAAGTAAACTAAGTCAAAAACGACTTTACAATTTGGGGTCAAATTAAATGTATGAGAATAACTTACACACTACAGTGCGATACGATTTTATTGTCATTAGCATGTGAGATCGTTTTGCAATTGCATCGAAAGACACTAAATAAGAACAAAGATACTAGATCAGATCAAAGTAAGCGGACAGACACATGTGAAAAGCTTTAATTGTTTTTCTTTAACTGTTTTGGTTTAAATTTTTCGGTATTTAAAGAATATTATACCAAAATTTTATTTCCAACAATATTGTCTAATATTGCATTCATATGTACTTTAAGTTTTTTAACCTTCTAGTGAAGAGTGAAGAGAGTATATGCATTTAATGTGACTTATATATAATAATGAAGACACCATTTAATACAGGAATAAAAAAGAATACAAGTACATAATTTTGAAGATCTTGATTTAGCCATACAATGCAGACACACTTTATTTATCATCATATTTATAAGATCTATTTACAGCGCAAGCGCGACTTTTAAGTAACGTACCCAGCAGATCTTATATTACAGAATGAAGGTTCATAATAACTCACTTTCGTGTTGGTACCATTGAACACTATGTTTGTAAGAATATTAGAGATTTTATAATAAATCCCTTGGAGTAAGCGACTAGGGTTGATATTTTAGAGACTTTTTGACAAGAAATTTCAGCGAATAAATAAAATGAAAAAGATTTTATATTTTTATGATGATGTAACATAATCCCGAGTTTATTATTGGTATAAACCGTTTTCTAAAAAGCTAAAAAGATATTGAAGACAACGTGAGGTCTGAATGTTCCACCATGATCATCAAGAATAAAAACAGTGCACAAATTTGAATAAATTGTGCTGGCTAATAGGTATTACCAATAGAGGTTTTGCTAAAACAACATAAAGCTCTTGAAAACCTTATAAATGGAAGCACAAAAAAATGGATTTGTCGAAGTTTCAATATCCTTCATATGTCACATATTAGTTTTTTCCTGTTTAATTACTGTATTTTTTTTAACCTTTATAGACGTAGAGTTAAAAGGACACAGTAGGTTTGTTAAGTTATATGTGACATGGCGAAGGACAAAAATAAACTATTTGTTTATTTGTCTGTTTTATATGTGCATTTGTTTGTCTATCATATTACACTGTATGCTCATCTGTTTGTCTGTGTGCCTGTTGGTATGCTTATCTATTTATAAGTCTATTTGTCTTTTTGTCTATTTCTATATTTGTCTATTTGTCTGTTTACCTGTGTGCCAGTTTAGTATTAGACGGAATATTTCATTGAAGATCGCGATTTTCTTTTTATTCTATTCGGAAAGCCGTGTTCCTGTAACAGTCATTTCAATTGACTATATTTTTTCGATAGAGCGCTAGAATGTACTTTTTGGTTAGCACTTCAAAGTTTACTCTAATTTGTATTTAAATCGGTAGTTGCATAGTTGGCTTCACTTCACTCTCGAGAGATCAATTTCAGTAGTCTATATTTTGTATAATTTAATATTGACGAGTGAACTATTCTCTATTTTTTTCAAGCCCTTTGAGAATTTTTAGTCATTTAAATAACATTTTAAATCAGTAGCATAAACGGGTGATTAATTTTCTCTAAGTGTATTAAAGGTTAGTGTTATTTCGAATGATTTGAAACTTACAGTCGAGTTGGTGAATTTGTAGGTTATGCATATTGATCTCGTTTAAAAAAAAAACAATTTCGTCATAGGAATTTACTTTTATTTTATGGTCTCGACGTCTCCTTTGTCATGTTACAACTATCCCAACACACTTAATACACTCACAAAAGTAAGAAGAGTATATAAATTCACCGCTGATATTCAAAGCCCATATGTAGATCTTTTTTTGATATCTCGAAAAGTAATGATTTACTCTTATTCAAATTTTTTTGAATACTTTGTTCAAAGAAAGTTTAGTATTGTATGTTTTTGATATTTTCCAAAACATTGTAAAAAATAAAAATATGTGTTATTGTTATAATTTTCGGAAAAAATAACGTTACATGGTAACTTATAAGATTTAATTGTGAAGATATGTTTCCAAGAGAGCCTGGGAGAAATACGGGCAATTGAAAAACCTTTCAATATCTTTTGGTACAAGTTTCCAAACCACTATCGATTTGACAGCTAGGTAATAATTTTTTATCAATCGTATGTCAAGCGTGCTTTGGTTCATATTTTGAGATCTGATGAACGAGAAATGAATGTACTGACAATTATATAGCACAAGCACATGTATGTCTCGCATTGCTTTTTACAGAATCTAAAGTTCTCAATATATCGCCCACATGGCAATTTTAGAATAGAATAGTAATCAATAGGAATTCACAATCGCAATGGAATAAATTACTGCGACCTTTGATGAGCAATTTGAATTGATTTTCTCAGAAAATAAAATGAGCTCGCGTTACAGCGTTCTCATTCAAACCCATAGATTACCCGTATAATATATAGAATATGACATGCTCATCGTCTTCTAGACAGTATTCTTTTTCTAGGTTCAAGCAAAAAAATCACATTCTAGGTAATGTGATATACAAAGTGACCAAAAATCACGCGTTCTTTCTTGCAGGGACGACATCTTGTTTCATAAGACAGATCTATCTTATTTGATGTATCTTATCACTTTGATGAAACGAAGGTTATGAAAAAACATTGAGGTATATAGGATTACGATAAGGAAAGGTCTTCATTTGAAGTTAAAGCGAAGGGCATCAAAACGATACGCCATCTATCTATATCTTTCAATTTATATAGAATTCTCGATTAAATTCTTGGTTGTGACCTAACTAGTTCAACAATAAGTCTTCGGTTTATAGAATATAACGTAGTCATAAGTAAAGAGTGACTTGTGTTAAAAATAGTAAGATTTGAGCTAATTTTGAAAGCATCACTCTGAAGGTTGTTGACTTATTTCTGGCACCCATATATCGTTACCTACATTGATAAAAATTAAAGTAAAATGTCATGGAAGTTACAAAGACTGTTAGTAAACGGGAGCTGTGAGTTCACGTGCATTTGAAATTATGTTAATATTACTTTGGGTGGTATAACCATAAATTAATGCAACATAGGAACATATTGGCTCCATAAGTTGGTTTTGTATTATATATTGTAAGTTTTAATCTTAGTGTGATGAGTCAGTCCATTTTTGTTACCTATTAGCTTAAGTAGATTTTGTTTTATTTTTATGTGCATATTTTAACCTAGCTAACAGTTATATTACAATATTTTGCAGTATTTACATATAGATTTGGAGCGCCTAATACTAATCATTATCAGGTGACTATGTGCTCTTTGGTTAGTAAATTCCACATGAATTGATTTACTGTCGCTTCTTCAAATTTTCGTCCACTGCGTTTACCGCTATTTTTACTTAGTTGCCGCTTCTTTGGCTCATTAATCTATTACAAGTATGACTATATCATCAGGAAATGTGAATATCAGGACGAGGGGTTGTGGTATATCTTTTGTGTGCAGGAGATGTAGAAGCGGGCCAAGAATGATTCCTTGCGGAAGTTTTTATTTCTTCTAGGTTAGAGTATTTTTTTTCGTCTTTTATACGAAATGATCGTTTAGCTCGATATGACTTTATAAGGATATAGTATTGGGGCGGAAGGCAGAATATTGGTTTGTTAATAAGGCTTTCATGTTTTTTTTCATTCGTACTTTGTCGAATGCTATGAAAAGTCTACTGGTAGACGGATTTAAATAAATTTGACCGTTTTAAGATATTTTTCCCGGAATTCTGTATGATAATATACCGCGATTCTTGAGTATTGATGTTAGAAGTTACAATTTTTTAAATTTATTACACACTTTAATGGCATATATGATATCTACCGGTAAGATGATGTATAGTTTTTTTTTGTAAAACTTTGCAACTCCAAAGCCCGATGATTTAAAGCAGAGAATTAGGCTATATATACGTACTGAAACAAATTGCTGTCTTATCTCTTACTAGATGTTTGAGACTTCTATCTTTAAGGTGTTTTTCAGACCTGGCATACAGACAATGCCACATTTGTGGCATTACAATGGGCCATTCTGTTGAAGTGAGTTTTGATGCACAAGTCTGTAAGTCTAACCTAGCCTAACCTGAGCTAACCAAAGTTAATTTCCTACAATTGTTGATTTTATCAAAATTGGTCATGAAATCTCGATGACTTGAGTGTTGTATTAGAGTATTAGTATTAAATTCAAAAACTGTTTTTACAAAATTTATATACAGAGAGTAGAACTGTTAACAACTGGTATTTATACAATATGAACGCATTAGTCTGGAGATAAATTTTCATTTGGTCAATGAAAATTTCACTGCAACGCATCGACTCGTAAAAACGCACTGTAATCAAGTGTGGCAATGAAAACGAGAGTAAATTCATGGCATATGTATTCCCAAGCTTCTATAAAAGTTGAATGCAAAATTTAAAAGAAATATTACATCAGCGCAAGAAAAACAATCTACGAGGAGCAGGATCAGGCTTTAGTATTTCAGTTGAAATGTAATGAGTAACTTGAACTCGTGTGGATCGGAGTGCTGTTAGTGAACAAATAAATCAACTG